CAGAGCCCATTTCTCTGGGGAAATGAAGTGACAGACTCTTCTTTCAAGGGCCTTGGCCTCTCTGTGTCATCCCTCCGTCAATTTATGAGCTGAGACCCGGCACAGAGCACTCTTGGTGCATGCTCTTGTGGGGTCGTGCGGTTGTGGGGTACAGGCACACTCACTGTTTTCCAAAGTGGCTGTACACTCTGCTTTCCCACTGGAAATGGCTGCCAGCCAACCCTCGACGCCAGGGATGGCAGGCCCGGCCCGGCCATGACGAGTCGAGTTCTGTGGGCACACGGCCCCGTCGTTCCTTATGTGTCGACAAGGGCGGGCCTGCCAGGTTATGACAGAGGCCCCATGGCCACAAAGCTGAGTCTTTTCTGCCCGGCCCCTCACAGGAGCGTTTGTGATCACAGTGACCTTGACAACAGGTTCTGTGCTCTGTGTGTTTTATTCTAGTTGCTTCCGTTTCCATCTGTATAAAGATGGTGGTTGCAACCCCTAATCCTCTCTTGACTCTCAGCTTGAAGCGCATGGCTTAGGACAAAGACTGAGGCCTGTGCTGGGGCCCTGGGGTTCACACGTGCCTGCAGCAGATGGTGCCAGGCGCTTCCACAGGGCTCCACCACGGCACCCCTGCTGCCGGGCATGGGCATCCCCCACCCACATCCTGGCTGACACGTCTGGACACTGGCCTGGCTCACGGGTGACACAGAATCACGGAGGGCACAGCTCTGTCCGTCTTCCCCCAGTCTGGCCACGCCCACACAGCCAGCCCGAGGCCTCCACCCACCCCACACGCAGGCTGGCACCTCCTCTGGGCGTGCCTGGACTTGGGTCTCAGCAGTCACACAGCACGTGCTCTTGTGCCGGCTCCTTTCTCCCCCTGGTGTCTGAGCTTCGTCCCTTTGCCACACGCACCACGTCTGTGCATCCGCTCTGCTGTGGGATCCCGAGGTGAGGCCACGCACCGCATAGTCATCCGCTCTCCTGCTGGCGGGAGGTGTTTCCAGTTTGGGCTGTCGTGAGCAATTATGCGCGAACACCTGGAAACAGGTTTGGGGGCACAGGTCTGCGCATTTCCGCTGGATGTAACTGGGGGTGGCTGCTGCGAGGTGGGTGGCACGTGCGGTTGGTGTGTTGGCTGCCTTCAGGCCGTCTGCAGCGGTCATGCAGTATGCTGCTGCCCTCAGGGCTGGATGTGGCCACGTCTCTCGCTGGGTCTAGTTACGTTTCTCCAACTAGTGGTGAGGCTGGGTGTCTTGTCAAATGTGAATTGACTGTTGGTGTTGCTTCCGTAAAATGCTCATTCTTGTCTTTTGTCAGTATTTTGGATCTTCAATATTGATTTCTAATTTAGTTCCGTTGTAGACAGAGAATATTCTATTTGATTTCAGTTCTTTTAAATTTGTGACACACGTTCTGGGGCCAGCGTGTGGTCTCTCAGCCTGTGTTCCACATATGCTTGAAGAGGCACTCGCCTTCTGTGGTTCGGGGAATGTTCCAGAACTGCCCGCAGGTCGAGTTGCTTGAGCGTTGCTCTGGTCTCTGGCGTCTTTGCTGACCCTGTCTAGCTCTTCTGTCTTCCCGAGGGAGGAGCGCTGACGTCACTGAGACCGTGGTGGGCTTGTCCAGGCCCCCCCAGCTCTCAGCTTGTGGGTTCTGCATTTTGAAGCTCTGCTGCCACACTGAGGGCAGTTGTGTGCTCTCGGCAAATTGCCCCCATTCTTACATAATGTCCCCCTTTTTTCTGGTGATTTTCTGTGTTTCGAGTCTACTTTTCCTGATGGTAACGCAGCCCCTTGTCTCCCTTTCAGTGGTGTTCACGCGATGTGCCTTTTCCATCCTCTCGTCACGTCACCGCATGTAAAGTGGGTTTGTAGACCACAGGGTCTACACCACACCCCAGTGAAGGACAGAACATCCTCATCACCGGGGAAGCTCCCCCCGCCCCTTGCAGCCAGCCCCCTCCGCACGGCATGAAGCCGCGCTGGATTTCTGTTGCTGTAGATTCCTCTCACACGTTCCAGAACTCCTCATCGGTGGGACACGCCCGCTGCGTCCAACCCCTTGGGCTCAGCACGATGTCTTGGCTCCACCACGTTATGGGCATGGGATTCACTCGTGTTTATGACTCGAGCACTGTGCATCTGTTCACTGGTGGGCGTTCCGGTTGGCTCCCGTTGGCTGTGTGGGGCTCGATCATTCCATCAACAGCAAACTTCACTACCCTGGGGTTTCCACTCTGTGGGGTCTAATTTCTGATTATTTTCTGTTTCTGCGGAATACACTCCCAACTGCATTTCAAGGAGGATCTTGTGTTACCCTCTCAGACTCTCTGGGCCTCAGAATATATTTTTGCTCCATTCATTGCAGCGATAATTCTTCTGGATTGAACACCTTGAGGTCATCATCCTCATGTCTCCTGACATCGAGCCGACTCTTATTCCTCCATAGAGAGATTTTTAAAGAGTGTTTCCATTGTCTTCATTGGGTTTTGCATTAATGAATCCAGGAGTACATTCTAAAAATTGATCCCATTTGGCACTTTGAGCCTTTCAATCTGAGGTTTCAAATCTTTCTCTAACTCCTCATTCTTTAAAACTACGGATTTTGATATCCCACCCTCATGCACTGAGTGTCCCTCCTCCTGGGCTGGCCTGGGGAGGGGGGCCTCACTCTCCTCTCTCCCTCTGCCCTCGCCGACCCCACAGCCCACTGTCTGTGCCCTGACCACTCGGCCCTGTGCTCATCTTCCTGCTTCTCCATGGATGTTTTCCATTCTGTATTTCTGAGCATTTCTTCCTTATACCTGTTGTGGTTTGTAATTAATGGACCACAGAGAACGTGCGTTCTTCATCTGGCCTGTCCCGCTCAGTGCTTTCGCTCCTCAGATGCCTCGTTTTCCCCTTGTTAACTCATCTCCCAAACCCAGGTGACAGTGGTGTGTGCATGAATGTGTGTGTGCATATATGAGGATACACGTGTGTGTTTGTGAGTGTGTGAATGAGTGTGTGTGCACGTACAGGGATACACGTATGTGTTTGCATGTATTGTACATGTGTGTATGTGAGTGGGTGTGTGCATGTGCACATATGGGAATATATGTGTGTTTGCATGTGTATGTATGTAAGTGGGTGTCTATGTGTACATGCATGGGGATACATGTGTGTTTGTGAGTGTATGTATGTGTGTCCACATATGGGGATATACATGTGTGTGAGTGGGTGTGTGTGTGCACGTATGGGGATATACGTGTTTGTGTGTGTGCATGTGACTGCGGGTGCACGTATGGGGATATATGTGTATATGCGCGTGCATGTATTGGGACATACGTGTGTGTGTGTGTGTGTGTGTGTGTGTGAACGTGTGCATGTGCATGTATGGGGATATACGTGTGTGTGTGTATGTGAATGGGTGTGTGTGTGTGGAGAGATCCTGGGAGGGATGGCTTCTTGTCCTGTAATGGCTTCATGTGGACGACTACAGTCTGCCAGTCAGCCATGACAGGTCAAAGTGCAAAGGGCCAGCAGCTGGGTTGGTGTCTTTCTCCAGCCTGCTGAGCCCCGCCAGAGGCAAGGTGGTGCACGCAGGTGGGGACGTTGCTGGATGAGCAGGCCTGTACCGGGAGCCAGCTCCTGCCGTCTCTCCCTTGCCACAGTGGCAGCTCCTGGAAGAGGCACTGCTGTCCCCACTTCCTGCTCCGGCACCAAACACCCCGCAGCTCCAGCACCTCCTGTCTTCCTCTCTGGCAGCATCCTGACAAGGGTCTCTGCTGCCGCCCACGGCTCTCCCTCCCAGCCTCCGATGACAGTGCCTGGGGCTCCATCCTGGGAACCCAGGGAAGCTGGCCCCGTGGCTTCCACTCACCTCTACATGGCAGCACCCACTCTTCTGCCCCGGTGAACCCACGGGCCCTGCCCTTCTCCCCTGGCTACTGTGGGTGCCTGGACCTGCTCTCTGGCCCCAGGACCTGTTCGCAAGGTCTCCCCACCTCCCCCAGGGGACCAGCCTCCCACCTGCCCTCCGCTTCCAACCCATCAGCTCATCCAGAGCCGCCTCCACTCAGTCCAGTCACCTCTGCTCAGCGGACTGGGGTGAGGTCCCGGCCCCATGTGGCTCCCTGAGGTCTTATCGACAGGTCATCTAAAACAGACACCAGGCTCCTCAGTTCTCTGCTCAGAATCCCCAGGGGCTTCCAGTCGCTCTTAGGACAAAACCCAGACTCCCAGCCCGCACCCCGCTGAGCCCTTTCCTGGCCCCGTGCCTTCCTGCCATTTGGGTGGTGCTGGCAGGTCCAGCCTCGGCCTCTCACGTGTGTGCCCCCGACTGGAACATCTGACCATGTTCCACCCCTCCCTTGTTCTTGTCTCTGCTCAGACGTCACCTGGGAGGTCTTTGTTGGCCCCATGTGTAAAGAAGCCCTACCCCAAATTCCCTGGGCTTTAGAAAACTACTTGGCATTGAATCGGCCACAGCAGGTGCCACCCAGAGGCCCACAGCTTGTGAGCTCTCCGGGTGAGTAAGTGTGGACAGCCGGCTAGGGGAGTGGTTAACCTCCAGGCTGGTCAGGGGGAGGAGGGGGCGCTGGGCAGTGACAAGGCCTGGGACCAGCAGGTGAGTGGATGTTACTTGAGAGGAGGGACCGGACCAGGGAGATGGGAGCCCCCGAGAGCACCCAGACGCCGACACCCAGGCTGGGCCCCGAAAGGTCACATCAGCGTCTGAGGGCAGGCCGGGCACCCACCTCAAAGCCCACACCCACCAGGTGACTCAAAGTGTGGCCGAGGCTGAGAACCCCCAGCCTGGGCGGGGACTAAGCTCTGGGGAGCCTGGGACCGCAGTGGCCTCTCGGGAAGGAGGGGTGCACGCGAGGAAACAGGGAGTCTGTGGGGGGTAGTGCTTGCGGCAGCTTCTCTCAGAGAGACGGGGTGTGGAATCTCAGACTCCAGGTGACAGGGACAGCCTTGGGGCCCACGACCCGCCCCCCGCCCCCCGCCGCCCTTCCCCCGTAATGAGCAGCCACCTCCCTTGACAAGCACTTGGTGGTTTATCTGAGGTTCCAGGTCCGTCTTCTGCCTCCCTCTCCTCCCACCCCCAGGCCCTTCCCAGGATGCGCTTTCCAGGTCCTCCAGCACGGCCGCTCCTGGCGTCCAGAGGATCCAGGGAGGAAGTGCAGGCTCAGTGGGGGCAGCACAGGGACTGTCCTGGCAGGGGAGAAGGGCGACCTGGTCCAGGAGGCGAACAGCTGGCAGCCCAGCCCATTGGCACCGTGTGCCCAGGCCCCCCAGAGCCCTGGCGTGTCCAGCTGGGCCGTGGGCAGAGCAGCATCGCTGTGAGCCCTCTGCATGAACCTGCTCCTCGGGTCGCTGCTCCCATGTGCCCCCTGCCCTGACTGAGCTCCCACCTGGCCAGGTGTCTGCCGTGGTGCACACCTGCTCCCCACACCTGCTCTGCATACCTGCTCCACACACCTGCTGTGCTGACCCCGATCAAGGGTCCCCTGGGTGCCCACTGGGCCAGCTCAGGTCCTGGCAGCTCTCCTGGCTCCCCACACCCACCTGCAGTCCTGCTGGGCTCCCCCAAGGCCCAGGAGCCTCTCCATGCCCCTCCTGCCCCAACCCAGGGTCCGCTGGTCTGTCTTTCCTGTGCCCCTACCCTGGCCGCCCCTCAGGAGTTCCCCTTCCACAGACCAAAGTCTCTCGCTCCTTCCAGGGGTTCTGGAGCCTTGTTCTGCTGCGGCCCAGGGCCGCCTATCTGGCTGAGGGCTCCAGGCTCAGCTGAGAGGAAGGCAGATGTGCTGGGCCGAGGGGAAGGTGGGGTGCCTGAGCCCCTCCTTGGGCCTGGGGGTAGTAGGTCCAGGCCTCAGGTCAAGGCTGAAAGCTCAGGGATGGGCTCCTTGAGCCCTAAACAGGCCCCTGTCATTGGTTCAGTGGCCCGGGTTTAGTGTAAGGTGGGGGGCTGGGTGGGGGAGGTGCAGGGTGGGGTCCTCATGACAGCACCTGCCAGCCTTGTCTAGATGGTAGGAGCAAAGATGGGGCGTTTATCCCAAAGGCAAGTGTGGGGGACTGTGACAGGCCTGTGGGCCCCCAGGGGGCTTCTCCCAGGGGGAGCCCTCTCCTCCCAAATGCACAGCTGGAGGGGTGCGGTGGGACCCCCTCTTGCCCACAGTGCAGAACTGTCCTTCCTGCCTGACCACAGTCCCACCTCCTCCGTCTCTTCTCTCCCACCGAGGCCCATGAGCTCCGTCTCCCCATCCATCTCAGCACCTGAGCTGTGACTGCAGCCCGGTCAGAGGGACGGATGCACGACAGGGTCCCTGGACCAAGCCTCCTGCTGCGTCCCGAGACAAGGAGTGGGGGAAGGAGTGTGCGTGCAGGAGAGGACCGATGGGAGGGACAGAGGGCGGGGACATGGTGCCAGCCCAGGCTTCCTGGGAGACTGGGGAAGGGCCTGCTTCGAGGAACCCAGGAAGCCAGGCAGCCTCCATTTCTGTGGTGACCAACCTCTGTGTGGGCCCCGGGGGCTGGTGCTGGGGCTGCTGGGGTCCACACAGAGTGACCAGCCCCAGCCCTCAGGGGAGAGCTGCAGTCCCCCCACACCCCTCCCCCAGGGGCCTGGTACCTCTGGCCTCAGGGCGGTGACCACCACGACCCCCTTCTCCAGGGAGCCGGGCCTCGCTGGGCGTGCCGGGGGGCCTGGGGGCCTCCAAGATGGGCATGGGGGGCCTGGTGCTCTCGTGGAGGAAGGAGTTGAACTTCAGCATGTGCGCTGAGGGGCGGAGGTGAGGAGGGGTCAGCAGCAGGACAGCGGCACGTGGAAGACCCTCTCTTGCTTTCCCCTTGCTCTGCACATGGCTGGGGAGAGTGGCCACCAGGCTGGGTGTGCCTGGTGACTGGGCCCCGGGGCTTCCTTCCAGCCTCGTGGGGGTGAGGACAGAGATGGGGGGAGGGCAGTGGGAGGCTCAGGGGTCCTCACGAGGAGGCTGGGCCACTCACTCTGGATGGCAGACTCGCAGGCCTGGCTCACGAGCTGGTAGACGGTGGCCAGAGACTGTGGCTCGCCCTGCGAGGGAAGACAGGCCATGTGGCCGAGCGCCATGACCAGCCTGGCCAGTGTGCACGCCAGTGCCTCCTGTGACCCCTCGGGCAGTACCTGGACCCCAGACGCTGGCCACACTCACCTTCTCTCCCCGCTCCCCCTTGGGCCCCGGCAGCCCCTGAAGCAGGAGGAGACGGAGAAAAGCAGGTCAGCAGAGTGACACGCTAAGGGACTCCAGCAGAGAAGCCTGGACTCCCGCCACCTGCTCACAAGCCTCCAGGGGCTCTGGGCAGTAGAGGCCTTGAGCCGGCCTGGGTCAGCTTCTCCTGACTTCAGGCAGACCTGACTGCCACTCACAGCGTGGGGGGTCCCATCCATACGGCGGGAGGGAGACCAGCCTCCAAGACCCGCAGGGCGGGCAGAGCCGAGGGCCCATCCTGAATCCCTGGTCTAGGAGGGCTGGCGGCAGGGAATCCTCAGGGGCAAAGGACCCACTTTTTGCCAATGCCAGCTGGTCCCCAGCAGCTGGGACGCTGCCCCAGGGGAGAGCAGACATGCTGAAGGGCCCAGAGCCAGCACCCAGGCCTAGAAGCCAGCCAGGCGGCACAGAGCACTTCCCTACCCCGGCTCACCTCCCTCCACCTCCCGGGAACCTGCTGGAGCCCCCACCCTCTCGAGCCCACAGGATCCCCTGCCCCAGGCCCTGGTCTGTCCTGGCCTGCAGGGGTGGCCCCGCTTTCTACTCCCACAAGCCCCAAACCCAAGCCCTGCGCAGGCCTCGCTTTACGAGTGTGCTGGTGGCAGGAAGTCCCTGAGCGGTCAGCGAGGCCCGAGTGGTCAGCAAGGACAAGTTTGCACACCTTCGTCTTCCCTCTCACCTTTGGTGTGGGGAGGGGACTTACCGTGGGCCCCACGACCCCTGGGGGTCCTCGCTCCCCGCTGGTGCCCCTGGCCCCTGCCACACCCCGGAAGCCCTGTGAAGATGCAGAGCCCGGGCTTGGCTGCAGCCCCGGCAAGTCTGGCCCCTGTTCCCTCCAACCCTGGCTGCCGGACATCCCGGTCTCCACTGCCCTGGACCAAGACCAGACCCCTTGCTTGTCCCCAGCCTCCTGCAGGCTGCACATCATCACCCTGCCCAGGTCCCACTGTCCCCACGCTGTGCCAGGACAGACCCCACCCACGCCACCCGTAGGCGCTGACTCTGCACTGCGCAACCCCTGGCTGTGTTCCAGTTGTCCCCAGCGTGACCACAGGCCAGGACCCTGCAGGATCTTGGTGGGGGCCGGGCTGCCTGCCTCAGACCCCGCTGTGGAGCAGCTCCCAGGCGCTGAGCTCAGCACTGACCGCCGGGCTTGGAGAGAGGGTGTCTGAGCACAGGGTGTCCTCGGGCTGCCAGGGGGTATCGTGCTGCTCTGGACGCACAGAGGGGAGAAGGGGGCCTGGGCCATGTCCCCACAGCCAGCCTCACCTGTCTGCCCTCCCCAGGCCAATCCGGAGCACGCACCTCCTGGCCGTGTGGAATCAGGTGCAGGCGTGACTGGGGTGCTGTACCAACTGCCCAGTGGGGGTAGAAAAACCCTCGCCAGAGCGGCTGCTGCCATACTCCAGGGCACAGGACACCCATGTGCCCAGCAGAGCCCTAGAAGGTTCTGCCCAGGGGAGAGAGACCTCCCCAGGTCCCCACTTGGGGGTGACCAGGCTGCAGCCAGGATGTGGCCGACTGTCCAGTTCAGCCCCGAGGAACCTTGTGGGGAGTGGTGGGGGCGGGCATGGGGGGCTCAAGGAGGAGGCGGTGCCTACCCTGGGTCCGGGGGGTCCGGGCAGGCCAGCAGTCCCCTCCAGGCCTCTCATTCCCTGAGGACAAAGGAAGGGGTGAGCTGGGGCAGGGGGCCCCTACCCGACGCGTCCCTCCCATGGTGACCCATGTGGCCCCCGCGAGCAGCACCCAGACACCCCATGACCCACCCTGTGAAGGCGGGCTGCATACCCGCCCCTTGCTCTGAGAGCAGACAAGGCCGGCCAGGCTCGGGGCTTGCCCCCGCCCCGGCCAGTGACCACACCTGCCCCCCGAGGACTGATGCTCCCTCCCCCCGCCCAGACCACCTGTGGGGGCAGGATGGGGTGGGAGTGGGGGGTGGAGAGGAGAAAGCCCCCTCCACAGCCTCCATCTCAAGACCCTCCCTGAATGAGCTTCTCTCCCACCTTTGGTCCCTGGAGGCCGACCTTTCCGGGGGAGCCCTGGTGGCCGGGCCGGCCCTGGAAGAGAACAGAGGCGGCTGGCCAGGCCAGGGCCAGGGTCTGTCCCAGAGGAGGAGGCCCGGTCCCTGAGACCTGCATCCCAGCACGTGCCGCCATCCCTGCCCACACGCCCTGAGTGTGGTCTGACCCCGCTACCTGCAGGCCCGGGAGTCCATGGTCCCCCTTCTCGCCTTTGACCCCTGGTGGACCCTGGAGGGGAAGACGGACTGGGCAGCAAGGCAGAGGGGAGAGAAGGGCTGGGGTGGGTGACAGCGAGCAGGAGGGAGATGGGAGGCAAAACCTACCATGGGTCCCTGTATGGTGCGACCCTGGGTCCCTGGCGACCCCTGCTGACCTCCAGGACCCTTGGGTCCCATCTGTCCGGGTGGTCCTGGCTCTCCCTGGAGACACAGGGGGAGGGCTGAGAAGGCACGCAGCCCCTCCTGCAGCCCCTCCCCGATCCTGCCCTCAGTGGCCCACCCAGGCCTCCGGCCAGCCATGGTATCCAGACCCAGGCCCACACGGAGGCGTCTGCTCTCATTCCCTGAGGACAAAGGAAGGGGTGAGCTGGGGCAGGGGTCTCATACCCCACACGTCCCTCCCATGGTGACCCATGTGGACCCCATGAGCAGCACTGCCCCACGCTGGAGGGGTCCTGCCACGGCCCCACCTAAAGCCAGGAACTCGCCAAGTTCGCGTCACGGGTCACAGAGCTAGTGAACAGGAGTCGGGAAATATAAACCAGTCTGTCCAGCCCCAGGCCAGCCCGCGACCCTGACTCGGGTTTCCAGTGGTGGGGGAGTTGGGGGGACAGTGAGAAAACCCCGACGGGCCAGTCACAGAGCTCTGAACCCCAAACACCAGACTCAGACCTCACTGAACTTTCTAGCAGACCTCTAAGGGAAAGACACCAACGCTACTTGAATAGTTTGAGACGGTGGAAGAAAGGAGAGAATGCTTTCAAACAATTTTTGTGAATTAAGCAGATCAACGTACCAAACTCTGTAAAGAAAACAGCAGACGTTGTCATTTATGAACATCAGAGAAAAACCCTAAATAAAACATTAGCAAACGGAATCCTGCAGCATTCGATGGACAGGAAGCTCTCAGTGACCAGGCTGGCTTTTTAATGGATGCAAGAAGAGTTCAGTGTTTAGGAGTGAACCTAAATCATTCACTAAACCAATGCTCCAAGAAGAAAAATTATTTGACTGTGTCCATAGCAGCTGAAGAAGCACTAAATCTTATTTAATATCCAGTCTTGACTTTTAAAATCTCATTATAAAATAAGAATACCACCACATGTCGCTTAACAACGGGGACACACAGAAACACGTGATTAGGCGATCTCTTCGTCGAGCGAACATCAGAGTTACTCACACACACCCGGCAGGTAGCGCCTCCAACACACCCAGGCTCTGTGGCACTGATCCTACGGGACCACTGCTGCCTGTGCAATACGTCGTTGACTGAAACATTGTTATGTGGCCCCTGACTGTGAATGGACTCTACTATCACAGGACAGAACAACCTGTCCCGGTTCCCAGGCCAGCACCACACTCAGTGGATGGACAGTGGGGCCTTTCCATTCAGTCAAGATGAGCGGGTCTGCTACCACTGCTGCTCTTGGACAAAATTCTGGAGTTTTCGTCAACACCATCACAAAAAAAATAATGAGAGTCATAAAAATTGAAAAGGAGAAAGTGAAGTAATGTTTTTCAGGTGATGTAAATTTAAACCAGGAAATTCCAAGAAAGCCATGTGAAAATAATAAATTATTACAAATGAGATCGTTGAGTAAGAAAGGAGAGCACAAAACAACACGTGGAGACCGAGGTTCTGGGAAGACGGAGGCAGAGCCGGGAGCGCCAGGAACGGGTCTCCACCTGGACAGCAGCCATGGCAGGCTGTCCGCAGTCACCGCTGGGGACTTGAGCCTGTGGAAAGCTTGGGATCAAGAGTGAGCTTAAGTCAGGGAGGGGCTGGTGGTCCATCACAGTATGGTGAGGACTGGGCGGTGGTCTCACCTTATGCACAATAAATTTAGAGGAACTGACGTTTGAATGTGTAAAGGTTCTGGAAGGAACGAGAGGAAGTGCCTCTGTGCTCTGACTGAGGAAGAGCTTCCGAAACGGACCGAGACAGGCAGGACCCACGGCAGACAGACCCATAAGCCTGACCAGATAAAGGTCACCTGAAAAAGCTACACAGACATGCACACGGCCAGCAAGGTCAAAGGATGACAGAACGGCGTAAAGCTCGTCGGCCTCAGCCCCCAGGTGTGGGGCGTCAGTTCCCATATTGCACAGGGCACTCCAGGAATGGACGGGACAGGGAGCCCGTGGGGAAGGGGCCAAAGGACCAGAGTCCAACAGAAAACCCCAGCAACTTCCAAAGGGTGTCGAGCTGCTTGTAAGAGACGCAAATTCACATGTCGTGGACAGACATCTTCACCTACTCCTGTGACCCTCCTTGTTCTCGGGTGCAGGGTGGGGAGCTGGCCCCTCACTGAGGAGGGGAGGGTACCTGCTCCCAGTTGGGGAGCCCCTACGCCTGGGGGAGGTCACGTGGGGCTCACTCCTGCGTGTTTGCGAATGTGCTGGGGGCTTCTTCTGGAAGGTGGGATCCAGGACCCCACCCCAGGACTCCCCACGACTTACCCTGGGCCCTGGGGAGCCCTGCTCTCCTGGCGCTCCATTCCTCCCGGGGAGGCCCTGCAGGAGTGCAAGCAGGGCTGAGCCCCAGCACCACCCGCGAGGCCGGTGCACCTCGGGGCCCCAGCATTGCCCTGGACTCCAGCCCCACCTCTGGGTGGAGAAGGGGAAGGGGATTCTGGGGCGAGGTCACCCTGACCTGTCCTTCCCTGCCACGGCCGCTGGTTAGGTGCGGACTCGGGTTCAGGGGCCTCCAAGCTCAAACCCTGGCCCCTCCCTGCTGAGGTCTGTGGACCACTGAGCACCGAGTGAGAGCTCGGTGACTGACCTTCACCCAGCACCCTGGAGCCTTGGGCTGGCAGAGGGGCTGGCCTGCCCCATGTGGGGCCCAGGGCCTGGAGAGCTGCCTCCCCTGGGGCCTGGACGGAAGGGCCCCCCTCCTCCGGGCTGCCCCACAGCCCAGAGTGCCACGTCACACCAGCCTGCCATCACCAGCACAGTGCTGCAGACTGGCTGGGCCTCTGCCCCCACCTCAGCGGGGAAACTGGGGACATGCTGGATCTCACACCAGAGCGGGGTCGGCTTGGGAGAGGGAGGCCAGTGGGAGGAAGGGGCTTGCCAGCAGCAGGCTCGTGGGCCGGGGATGGACGAGGCAGCAAGGAGATTCATGAAGTGGGTCCCATCTGAGCTGCAGGCCTGGGGACGGCTGATGCGGCCTGCGTCCCAGCTGGGGGCGTAGGAGGGGGCACCCTCATCTGCCAGTGGCAGTGAGATGTTGCCAGGAGTCCCTGGTCACCTCCAGGGGAGGGGCTGCTGGACTCACTGGAGGTCCTTGTGGCCCTGGGGGCCCAGGGCTCTCTGAGGAGCAGGTGCAGGCAGAAGGGAAGGCCGGGCAGGTCTCTCCATCCTTCTGGAAGGAAGAAGACCCCTGCTCATTATGTGGACCCTCTGCTAGGCTCCTGTCTGACCCTAGAGCTCAGGGTAGCCATCGACATCTGGGTCCCAGGAACCTCCAAACCCACATCTGGGAGGTTGGGGGGAGGGGAGGGGACCCCATCCTGGGCGCCCACCCCTCAGGCTGTCCAGTACAAGCCCCAGACAGGACTCCCTCATAGGCCCCCAGCATGGTCAAGCCCAGCGTAGGGACATGGGGAGTCGGCAGGCCCCTGCTCACACCTGCCCCTAGAAAAGCGAAGTGGTACAGCAGCAGCCACCCTTTCAGCTGGGGGCTCCCTGGCCCTCTGCAGCCTGCCCTGCCGCAGGACCTCCAGAACTCTCCCATCCAGCTGCCTGAGGTCTGGCTCTGCCCTTGGAGGCTGCCTCCTCCAGGAAGCCTGCCCTGATCTCTCCCAGCACCCATGCCCTGGATGGCCATCTGCCCAGGCTCCACAGCCTGGGAGGGCACTGCCCACCTACCGAGGCAGGGAGCTCGCAGCACCTGTCCTCCTCTGCCCAGGAGTCACTGCACACAAGCTGCAGCGTCTGGAGCTGGAACTACAGGCAGGAAGAGCAAGTCAGTCAGTGCAGCTTGGGGCAGGAATCTGCTGGCCCCACTGGCCCAGCCTCGCAGGACTCGGCCCAGGCTCACCGTGGCAGAGCTGCTCCGGAGGCCCCGGGCCTTGGCCAGCCTCCCCAACATGACAAAGCCGGTGGCGGGAGGGCTGCCAGCCTCCCCAATGGGCCTCTCAGCCACCTTCTGGCAGTCCACGTAGAGCCTGACCCTGGAGCGGCCCACAGCCACGTGCACCTGCAGGATACCACGGGAGGGTCTCCTGCAGCCCCAGCCAGGAGGGGCATCCGTCCCTGCCCACGAGGCCAGGGCCAGATTGGGAGGGTGGCAATGCCCATCACCTGAGGCCTGACCATACCCCAACTCTCATGGGACCCCCCCCCTTCACTGGGCCTCAGTTTCCCCTCTGCAAAATGGACCAAATGACACCTGCCAAAGGCCCCTCCCAGGAACTTGTGGGACCCAGAGAGAAGGGCTGGGATGCTCTTCAACCCAAATTAAGATGGGGATGTCCAGGGCAGAGGGGACCGCAGGGGCAGAGACCCCAGACGGGCTAGTGCAACTCTCAAGGGAGGTTCTAGCATTCGGGGGTAGCCATGGCAACCAGGGCAGCCTACGGTTGGGAGGCAGCCTTGTCCTGCAGAGCCCCATGGAGGGGTCTGTTCCAGAACCTGGGGAGCCGGGCAGGGTCTCAGACAGGAGGAGGCCCACTGTGATCCTTCCAGAACCTTCCAGGACCTTGTGGAAGCTCCCGAAGAATATCCTCCTCACTTCGGGCAGGTCGAAGGTGACCTCTTGCAAGGTGGCCCTGAGGTCGTGGTTGAAGTAGGTCAGTGACTTCCTGCTGGCTGTGAAGTGGGGCGAGGAGCACGTGAGGCCTCCTGGGGCAGAGGACAGGGAGGACCTGACGCCCCCCAGAGTGGAACAGGGGCGGCCCCCACGAAGGCGTGAACCCCAGTGCTCCCCAAACCTTGAAGGCTGGGCTGTGGAGAGCAGCCCCATGGGACACCTGCCCCCCGCTGAGGGCCAGAGGCAGCATCGCCCAGGACCCACAGCCTGCAGGGCTTCGAGGGGCGACCGAGGCCCACCGCCCTCCCTCTGGACTGACCGTCCAGCAGGACCCCCAGGACAGGCTGGAAGTCCTCAGCCGTCATCTGCCACAGTGCGAAGGCCTCGCGGGGTGTCTCAGGGAGCAGGCGCAGGAGGAAGACAAGTGTATGTTCCGGGGGCAGGGCGGCTGGGTGGATGTCGCTGTGGGGCAGAGGTGGGGCCACCACGGGCCTGAGAGCAGGCCGCGCCCAGCCGCGGTGCTGCTGTCCCCAGAACCCAGACCCCAGGCCCCAGGACTGCAGAGCTGCAGGGGTCCACAGGCCAGGCTGGGGCCTCTCCTGCCTTGGTTTCCCCATGAGTGGCATGGGGAACTCCCCCCAGGGCTATCGAAGGAGTCAACAAGAAGTACCCCTACGGCATGGCACACACTCTGTCCCCGGGGGCTGGCCAGGACCAAAGGCCATCCCACCACAGCTAGTGTCCACCACAGTCCCAGGCAGAGCTTTCCAGGACCCCGTTCCTCATGGTCTCTGTGTGGTGGAGAGGATGCAAGTCAAGGGGACCTGCAGGAGGGTCCCTGGGACTGTCTCCGGGGGTTCAGGAGCCCACAAGCCCAGAGGCAGCTCTGCTGTCAGAGTGCTCAGACTGGGTGGGCAGTGGGCGTCTACACCGGGGCCAGTGCCCACCCAGGGGGCTGGAGGGTGGGAAGGGGCAGGGAACAGGGTCTTGGGTCACCCAGTAAAACTGTTCCTAACAGTGCACCCTCCCCATTTGCTTTCATTTGCTCTCAGGATGACCAAGAGCCCACAAGACCCAGCCCAGCCATGTTCCTGCTGGAACTGGCCCCAGGGCCTTGGCACATGCTTCTCTTTCTTCCTGGGTTCCCTCCCCTCCCCTATTCTCTCCCTAGTGGCTCTACTCATCTGCCACCTTCTCAGGGAGCCTTCCTGTCCCCATTACAGGGAGGGACCTCTCCCACTCTTAGTGGCCCTGGAGTCTCATTCATGGTAGTTATCATGGTGGGGGGGCCACACCTGTGCTGGGGTCCACACCTACGCTGAGGAGCCACACCTGTGCTGGGGGCCACACCTGTGCTGGGGCCCACACTTGTGCTGGGGGGCCACACCTGTAAGGCCGTCCACCCCACCTCTTGGGCTGTGAGCTCCAGAAGGGCAGACAGACAAACGTGAAGCACCCATTACACTGTGAGGCCCTGGGAGAAGTCTGTCATTTGCAGAAAAGGGGCAGTTATGGGAGAGCCACCGCAGCATTCAACCACCGCGGCCGCCTCGTCTGCTCAGGGTTTGCTGCGAGAGTCGGAGCCGGGGTACGAGGAGCAGAGACTGCAGCTGTGTAAACCTTGGGGCTCCAAGCCCCAGATTAAAGATCGGACGGGAGGAGGGGCCATCAAGGAAGAGACAGGCGCTAGTCCCCTGCACAAAAAGTGCACCTTGCACCCCCCTAAAAAGAAACGAAAGTGGGGACAGACGGCAGGGGGTGCACACAGCAAAGATCGGGCAGGAGGCAGAGGGTGGTGAAGGGACGGTGGGCAGGCATCAATTCAGCCACGAAACGCCACGTGTGATGGGGCCAGCCCAGGGTGCCTACTGTGGCCGTCCTGCCACACCAGTGCTGTCTGGGGAGAAACAGACCTGAATCTTACTAGCATTGGGTGGGTTTTGTAAAATTACATATTTTGTAGTTTTCAAATTTCTATTACAGAGCTTGTGACAGACATTTGTAGTTTAAAACATTTTAACTTAAGAAAAAATGACGCCGTGCATATCAAAGTTCGATTTACGATTGCAGATATTTCCACGAACACAGAGGCTGGTTGCTTGACCCGAGTCGTCACGAGCGGAGTCAGAGCAGTTGCTTCTGACGAGCTAGGACATTTACCGATTCGCCTCATCAAATCAAACGCCCACAGGAGGCAGGGTTCTCAAGGGGACAAATTTGGTGGCTCCTTTGCAGAAGTCTGCAGGTTGGACCAATCGTCAGGCCATGTGGGGAAAAGCACCCACATGTGGCCTTATTCCACCCACGTGAGATTCATTAAGGTAAAAATTGAATTTCTGGAGCCCACATGCCGAGTGAGCACCGACTGCTGACGGGTCCGGGGCCTGGCTGGCTCTGGGGGATGGAGCCCTGGGCCTGGACACTTCTGCCTCCCGCCACCTCCCCTGGAGGGTCATGTGGGGACGTGGTGGGTGCCCCCACTGCGCCTGCCCCCCATCACATCACAGCCCGTCCCGCGCCCTCCCACCTGGCCCGGCGTGTCAGCTGAGCATCCTTGAAGAGTGTGAAGGTCCTAGTCGGGCCAAACGCTGAAGGCTCCATGGCCACACCGCGGACAGAGGCGTACTCCTTCTCCACCAGGCCGAAGGCCCCCATCAGGTCAAAGCCTGGACCAGACGTGGGGAGGACCGAGGGTCAGTCAGAGATGGGAGGTGTGGGGGGGAGGGGCAGGAGGTAAGAGAGGACAACCAGGTGTCAGGGTGACGGCAATGAGCAGGAGAGGAGAGAGAGGAAGCCCAAGGCAGGAGCTTTGGGCAGAGACAGGGAAACGGGGAGACAGAGACGTGGAGATGGCAAGGTGGGGAGAGAGGGAGACAGAGACATAGAGACAGGGAGACAGAGATGTGGAGATAGAGACGTGGAGATGGCAAGGTGGGGAGAGAGGGAGACAGAGACATAGAGACAGGGAGACAGAGACGTGGAGACAGAGACATGGAGATAGAGACATGGAGATGGCAAGGTGGGGAGAGAGGGAGACAGAGACAGGGACGCAGAGACGGGATTGGGTGAACATGAAGACGTCCAGAAAGGGAACACGGGGCCCTCAGGTGGGTGGGAATCTGGAGCTCAGGGCCTGGGTGGCAGGCAGGGGTCCACCTAGGTGCCCAGAGCCCCCACTGGCACCCCCGCCCCAGCCGTCCCTTCCCCTTGCCTCCGTCCTGACCGGGGAAAGGACACACAGGCAGCACTGCCGGCTCCTCTGTGTTCGCAGTTGTCGGCCCCCTCACCACTGTGTCCCACCCGCCCAGCAGAGCCCAGCGGTGGTCCCACCGCCCAGCCCGTTGAGGCCAGCTCAAAGTGCCCGTGACTTCCCCAGCGTTGATGGCACGAAGTGAACGAAAGGTCTTGTTTCTCTGGGTGCTCAGTGCGGCCACAGGGCAGGAGCGGGCAGCCTCGCCTGCCCCACCGCCGGCCAGAAGCAGGCCCTGCTCTGCAGCAGGTCTGAGCAGCCACAGCCCTGCTGCTCGCTGGAGACCCCGAGGGAGACTCCACCCTCAAGGGCCACCCTCCCCGCAACCTGTCCCCACTGCCCCAGTCCGCGCAGACCGTGGTGGGGCCCACACGTCGGCCCTCTCTGGTGAGGGTCTCAGACCCACGAAGAACTAAAGACACTGTGACCCCTTCGCCCCTCACACCGCCCAGCTCCTGGCCAGCAGAGGCTAGCAGAGGCCACACAGGACCCAGGGGCCCCAGCTTTGCCTCTGCTCTGCCACGTCCCAGCCCTGACCTTGGACGAGCGACCTTGGACAAGCCTTTGTGGGAACAAAGGCACCAGCCAACAACGTGAGGATGCCCCTGGAAGGTGTGCGCCCTGCCTGTCGCACGTCATCTTGGTTCCAGGCCACCCTCCCCATGAGGACCCGAGAGGAGCAGGTGGGGGTGGAGAGGGAGCAGCTGTCACTCAAGGGCGGGGCCTACCTGTGAGGGAGCCATCCGCGTGGAGGGCCCGGCAGGCTGCTGAGAGGTGACAGGGGCTTGGGTCAATGGTCTCCTCAGGCCTGGGTCTCCATGCCTCAGGGATGGGGAAACAACAGGGCTGCGTCCTGCGACCTTGGGGGTCTCACTTCCACGCCCCCAGAAGACGGTGCCCGCTGGGGGGGTTCTCGCTGGGGGCCACTTCCCAAGAGGGTACCAGCCACCCCGACGTGCCCCAGACGGCAGGGCCAGGGAGACGCCTGGGTGCGCAGACACTCCCATCAGGGGCATGTGCAGCACTGCGGCCTGGCTGGCAGGCCTACTCCGCTGCCGGGCGCATAGTAGGTGTTCAGAAGTGTTTACAGGTGAGTGAGGCAGGAACTGGGACCCAGAGGGCAAGAAGCAGCTCTCCCCTCTAATGGGAAGGGTGCGGAGGCTCGGCAGCTGCCCACTGAGTAGCGAGGCCCCCTTCCCCAGGGGCATTCAAGCCAAAACTAGATGGTCTCAGGAAGGGGATGAGGCGGTCAGGCTGACCAGCCTTCGAGGGCCTTCTGGTCTGAGCGTCTGCGACTGTCCAAGAGAATCAGCATAAACAAAACAAAAGCAATAGGTTCCTCTCAGCTGGGCCTGGCCTGCAGGTGGCAGGACCCCAGGACAACTGATGCCATATCCACTGCCGGGAGCATCAAGGCAGGGCCAGCCCGTGGGCCCTGGACTCTAGCTGCAGCTGCCCTGGCACGTCCACCCACCCGCCCTGGGATCTGCATTCGGCTTGCCCACACCCGCAGGCTGGACATCTGCCCCGCACCTCCTGGACGCGGATACAGGAGGGACACAGGCCTGGGCATCTGCAGGCGAGGTTATAGCTGGAGCCCTGGCTGCATCAGCTGCACAAGGCTGGTTGGACAGGGGTGGTGTTAACACTGCGGTTAGCAGTTGGTGTTCTACGATATGGAAGGTTTCACATGAAAACTCTGAGTTCCCTCTGCAGCACTGGGCCCCATGTGGGAGTGACAGGGCCCACACGTCCTGCTGAGTGGCCCCTCCAAGCAGGTTCTGGACTTCTGGGTGCTGGCCAGGGTCAGGGTCTGTTTGGGTCTGGGGGCCTGGCTGGTGTCTGGGGCCTGGCTGGGTCTGAGGGTCTGGGGCCTGGCTGGGTCTGAGGGTCTTGGGCCTGGCTGGGTCTGGGGTCTGGGGCCTGGCTGGGGTCTCAGGCCTGGGGGCTTGGCTGGCATCTGGGGCTTGGTTGGGTTCTGGGAGCCTGGATGGCATCTGAGGGCCAGGTTGGGGTCTGGGGCCTGACTGGGGTCTGGGGGCCTGGCTGGCATCTGAGGGGCAGGCTTGGGTCTGGGGCCTGGCTGGGATCTGGGAGTCTGACTGGGGTCTGGGGGCCTGGCTGGCATCTGAGGGGCAGGCTTGGGTCTGGGGCCTGGCTGGGATCTGGGAGTCTGACTGGGGTCTGGGGGCTTGGCTGGGTCTGAGGGTCTGGAGGTCCACCTGGGGTCTGGGGGCCTGGTTGGGGCCTGGGGACCGGGTGCCCAACTGGGGTCTGAGGCCCTGGCTGGGTCTAAGGGTCTGGGGTCTGGTTGGGTCTAAGGGTCTGGGGCCTGGCTGGGTCTGGGGTTTGGGGGCTTGGCTGGGTCTGAGGGTCTTGGGTCTGGCAGGGGTCTGGGATCTGGGGGCCTGGCTAGGGTCTGGGGCCTGCCTAGGTCTGAGTGTCTGGGGCCTGGCTGTGTCTGGAGTTCTTGAGCCTGGCAGGGGTCTGGGGTCTTGGTGCCCGCTTACCTGTCCGGCCTGTGGCTGACACAGCCATACTCTCCCCTGCTCCGTAGACTGCAGAGACCAGCACCCTGTACTTGGTGGCTGCCAGCAGGTCGGGGAGTATCGCATGGCTCCTGGGTCCTGGAACAGAGATCTGGGGGGACAGCTCCCCTGAGCAGCCCCTCTGGAGTGTCTTTGCTCGTTTAGGCATCTCCGATCCCTTTTGTCTCTGTGTCCTACCCTGGAAGATCTACCACTCTCAACAGGCAGAGTGGGCTGTGTTGGCCCCATCGCCCCCAGGACCCAGGGGCCCACAAGGCGACAGCTTCCTGGTTCCACCAAGACCCACCGATTTCTCGGGTCCTGAGCCTGAGGCCAGCGTGTAGGTGAGCCGGTAGTGGAGGACGTGGCCACTCGGGGGCGTCCAGCTGACCCGCAAGCTGTTGGGTGACTCGGAGGCCACGGTCAGGTTGGAGGGTGGGCTCCGGCTGACTGTGGGGAGAGCACAGGGGCTGGGAGCCTGTGCCCTGTACCACACCCATCGCCCCCACTGCCCCCACAGTCCCCCACCACGCCTGCTGCCCCGTGTTTTTGGCAGAGACAGGGCCACGAGGTCAGCTCTGGGACTGTTTTGAGCACTGTCACCACACCGGGTGACTTGGATCCTCAGCCACCCCCAGAACACCTGCTCTGAGGGCTCAGGGAGGCCCTGGGGACCCAAGGGGGCAGGCCAGAGGGTCAGGGGCTTGGGGAACTGCCTATCAGCGGTTCTGGGAGTTTGGGGTCCTGGGCCATGGAACCAGGAGAGTCTGGGGTCCCTCTGGGCTGTTCCTGCCCCCCACACAGCTGAGGGGCAGAGCAGGGGTCACCTACGGGCAGCGTAGCGGAGGGACACGGGGTCGCTGCGGGCCCCGTCCCTGTAGTAGGCCAGGATGGTGATCTCGTACTCCAAGTGCCTCCCCAGGCCGGGCAGGACAGCTGTGCCCAGGTTGCCAGGGACAGAGATCTGCAGAGAGGAGGGACCAGGTGTCCACTCTGTGGAGTAGTGTCCACGTTGGGGCCCGGCTCACAAGCCACAGGCAGGCAGGTGTCCCCAAGAAGCTGCAGTGGGCTCTGAGCAGCCCCAGAGCTGGGGTGTGGGAAGGGGGTGGTCCTCTCTCCCCACCCCACACCTCATGGGCCTTCCCATCTCCCAGGGGTGTCCACTTGATCTGGTAGACGAGCACGCCGGATGCCGCTGCGGCTGCCCAATGCAGCTGCACCTCGTCCCCAGGGAGCTCTGTCACTGACAGCTGGCTAGGGCTGGGGACTTTCCCTGGAAGACGGAAGAGGGAGACTTCGCTAGCACAGGGCCACCCTTGGAGAGAAGGCCCTTGGGGGCAGAGGGCACCCCATCCCCACGCGGAAGCCGTGCCACACACGCCCCCTTTCCCAGAACTGGGCTGCGGGCTGGGCACAGGCCCTGCTTCCTAAAGGTGCCCCAGCCCCCGCCTTTGCTCAGCCCTGGGGACCCTGGGTCCCTTCGAGGGCCCTGCACCCCAGCGTGACACCTGTCTGCCTGTCCCCACCTGGTTCAGCGCTGCACAGAGCAGACACCCCAATATCCGTGTTGACCTGAACTGTCTGTCGGGGCAGAAGGATGCAGCCCAGCCTGGGGACCCCTCAACGTCTGCCTACTTACGTGTGGTCAGGCGGCCGGTCAGTGTGGAGGAGCTGCCACCAGGGTAGAGGCAGGTGACTCTGACGGTGTATGTGGTGGAGGAGGAGAGGGGGCCTAGGGTGGCCGACGTGGCATTCCCAGGAGCCTCCGTCTGCAAGGCAGGTGGGGACACCCGCAGGGCCTGGAGCCGACTCCCCAGGCCAGGGAGTAGGCAGCCCCTGCCAGGATGGAGACCCAGGCTCGGGACCTGCTAGCCAGGACTGCCCCGTGGCCACCCCTAGAATGGGGAAATTGGCATAGACGGGGGCGTGGGGTGCAGGACCCACCACACTGGGGTCCTTGGGGCCTCAATCACCCCACCCACCCCCCAAACAGCCTCTTACAACACCACGTGCCCCTGCACACATCACACCGTCATCTACACATATCTATCTGACCCTTTGCCTCATGTCTGTCTCCTCCCCGCCCCTGCCAGCCTGGGGTCCCCAAGGGCTGGCACACTGCTCTGCGCTCCCCCTGCCCCAGGCCAAGGCTGGAGTGCACCAGGGGCGGGGGTTTTGGAGGGCTGAGGGCACTGGGCCCCCTGTGGACAATTCATTGCCCTGGATGCCAGGTCCCGCGGTGGTCCCACAAGACATTGGGTCCCAGGTGGGGCCTTCTCTCACCTGCCCGGAGTGGCCGCCCTTGCTGGAGACGTAGCTGACCCTGAAGAGGCGCACAGGTCTTGGGGTGGCCTCCCAGAACACACGGGCCGAGTCGTGGCTCACATCCGAGAAGCCCAGTCTGGTGGAGGCCAGGGCAGCTGCGGAGCACACCAAGGCCTCAGGGACCAGCTGCCGCTCCCTCCCCATGTGTATGGGGGAAGGGTGGGTGCTGGCCAGAGCTAGTGGGGCCACCAGGTAGGGTCTGGCATCCTCCACTGTGTGGAAGGCTCAGGGGACCAGAGTGGGCCTCTTCCCGGGAGTGCGAGGGGGTGGCAGCCTGATGGGGCCAGGCACTCACGGGTCCTGGCGCGGACGCCCCGGCCCTCGCTGGCCTCTGCCCCTCGAAGGCTCTGTACCCAGACGTCGTAGTCCCTGCCCGGCTCCAGGCCGTCCAGCAGCACCTCTGGCCGCCCCACCCGCACCTGCAGGGTCAGGGCACACACGCTGGCCCCTGCCGGCCCCCTCCTCCCCCGCCCCATCCCCGCAGGCTGAGGTCACGCACCTCTCTCCTGTCCGCCTCGCCCTTGGAGGGGGCAGGCGAGCACCAGACCAAGTAGTGGGTGGCCCCGGCCGCTGGCTGCCAGGTGAGATGCACGGTTCTGGGCGTCACTGCGGCCAGGGTCAGTGCCTGGGGTGGTGGCAGAGGCGCTGTGGGGACAGTGGGCGCCTTAGGAACGCGGCCCAGGCAGAAATCCTACCCAGGATCTCGAAGCGCACTGTGCATGCGTCTCCACGAGACAGAGGCCGGAGAACAGCCCCCAGGCGGGGAGGCCCCACAGACAAGTCTCAGTCTGTCCCCAAACTCCATCTGGGCCAAGTTCCAGGCTCACAGCTCTGGGGAAACACGGCCACCCCTGGGGTTTCTGTTTAAGGCCACTTGCCTTGCGGGTGGGGATACAAGGGCCCCAGGAAGAAGCCAGATGGAAAAGGCCGTGTGGTCTCATTTTTATAAAATGCCCAGAAATGGCAAATCCCTGGAGACAGAGATCAGGGTTGCCAGGCCTGGGGGGTGGGGAGGACTGGGGTTGATAGCCAATGCATAGGGGGTCTCCTTTTGGGGTGACAAAAATGCTCTAAAGGTGACTGAAGGGATGGGCGCACCACTGTGAATACACTAACAGCCAATGAATCGCACACTTGAAGTGGGGGAGTTGTAGGCCACATCTCAATGAAGCTGTCGAAGGGGCTCGTGGCTTCTCTGGGGGCCTGCAGGCCAGGGGGGCGGGAGCTGCATAAACCCTGCGAGCTGTGACAGGAATGGACGGTGTGATGGTGGCAATGACACAAATGATGGTGCTTGGGTTCAGAAGAGAACACTGAGGGCAGAAAGGCCCAGTGACTCAGCCTCGGTCACACAGCAAGTTGGGGGAGGTGCCCTCACCTGGGTTAAGACTCAGGACTGCTTGCTGCCCCACCCTTGCTGGTGCCAGGCTCCAAGGTGATGCTGTGGGTGAGGGTAGGCCCCCCTCCCTGAGCCCAGGCCCACCTCTACCCACCCACCTGTGGTTGCCAGGCCCCGCAGGCCCTCGCCGACCCCGGCCTCGTAGACGGGGAACACGGACACCAGGTACTCTGTACTGGAAGTCAGGTTGTGCAGCTCTGCAGACGAGGTGGGCCCCTCCACCACCACCTGGAACAGGAGCTGCGATGGAACGGGCAGGGAGGGGTGCCGGGGGCGCAGGGAGACAGCTCAGGTGAGGGCTGGGGTCGGCCCCTGCTTCCTTTACAGCGGCATCCCTGGCTCCGGGAGCAGGGCAGCTGTTGGCCACAAACCTGTCATCAGAGGTGAGTGCCCGCATGCTCTGGCCTGCTGCGGCCACCGGAGGGTGCTCTCAGGGTCTGGCTTTGTGGCGGCTGCAGGCTTGGCAGGGCCACACCCACTCTGCTCAATCCACATTGACTTGGCCACGGTGGGCCCTAACTTTGCGGATGCAGGCAGGGGCCAGCTCTCACCTCCCGGGGGATGCCGCCCTTGGAAGGCCGCCACACAATCAGATGCTTGAGGGGTGGTTTCGGGGCTGGGCTCCAGGACAGGTGGACACTGGAGGAGGTCACCTGAGTCAGGACCAGGCTGGTGAGAGCAGAGAGGGGGTCCGGGGCCGGAGCAGCAGCTGCCGGCGTCACTGTGGGAAGGGAGGTGACGGTCAACTGCCCCAGCAGGCAGCTGGCATTGGCAGCTCCACCTGCTGCCCATGGCAGCCACTTCCAGGAGGGACAGTGTTTCCCCAGGTGGGGGTGCAGACCCCTCAGAGCCATGAGAACTGGGGCGAGAGGGGGCTCAGGGCATTCCTTACAGGAGCCACGGGGCCCTGTTCCTCTGCTCAAAGTGGCTGCTGTGGGCGATCCTGCCCTCGCATCACCACCCACTGCTCACCTGGGCCCCCGCGCGGGCTCCTGCCCTGGACCTTCTGGCAGATGAGGCGGCTGAGCAGGCCGGCCAGCGTGCCGAGCTGGGGGAAGTCCTGCACACTGTGGACAGTGATGTCCAGCGGTTGGGACGCCAGGAGCCGCAGCTCCTCCTCATCAGCATTCTTCACGCCTGCCCACGGGGTTCGGAGGGTGAGGACGTGCCCATTCAGCACTGGGCCCATCTTACAAACGGGACCACTGGGCCCCTTGCCTGAGTCACTCAGCGTGTTGGGGGGGTCCCTTCCCAAGCCACGTACCCAAGACCCCACAGGCCCCAGGATGGGGTCACCCGGCGGGTCCCAGTGACAGGCGGCAGCCCGGGGGCGAATGCGAGGGGGTGCTGAAGCCCGGACGGCCCCTCGCAGGCTGTGCTGCGCCTGCCTGGGTCTCGTGGCATTTGTGGCCAGGAGGGAGCCCAGTGTGCTTTCTTTGGGGTCCTGAGCACACTCTGCTGAGCTACTGCACACCCGGGGGCTGGGGTGGGGCATGTGCCAGAGGATTTGGGGCACCAAGGAGGGTTTCTGCTCCCAGGAATCCGCCCCCAAATCTAAGGTTTCCTTCTCAAGGGACAGAGTTAATAACTGGCCAGAGCAGCGAGCAGAGGAAGGCCCAAGGCGGGCTGGGCCGTGGGGCAGCGGGTGCCACACGGAGGGGTGCGGGGCGGGGAGACGTCCACAGACTGTGCTGCAAACTGGCCGACTGGCCAGGGAGGGAGCAGCCCCGCCCACAGACGCGGAGCTCCTCTCCGAGCCGAGACTCATCCTCCCCCTTCGCAGACGCGCGGCGGAGGCTCAGAGGGGCCACGAGACCTCCAGCCCAGGTGAAGCCGGGGTGCAGACTCCCACCTGCAGCCAGGGGCCCACCCCGCTGCAAGAACTCCAGGGAGAGCCCGGGGGCTGCTCACCCACGGCAAAGACGTCGACTCCCAGCTCCTTGAGGACGTGGCCAGCAGTGCGGGCATCGTCCTGGGACTTGCCGTCTGTCACCAGGATCACCACCGTGGCTGCCTCTGGACGGGGACCCGCTGTGGGTTTCAGGTTCTGCTCCAGCACGTGGGTCAGGGCCAGGCCTTGGATGCAGCGAGAAAGAAGTGCAGGAGGCCCCCACGCCCCTCCTGAGTCCTCCCCGCCAGAGACGGCTCCACCAGCCATCCACCCCAGCACTCTGCCCTCCATGCAGTCCTGGCCCCCTTGGGCTGGTAGTGCTGGGAGAGCAGGGACACCAGCTCTCCTTCCCTCAAAGGCACCCCAAGCTCCAGGGGGGTGCCCCACACCCTGCCCCTCCACCAGCTGGCAGCAGCACTGGGAGCATCGAGGGAACAGGGAGGGGCCTGCCCGTGGGGTGGACCCCGAGGGGGAGGCTTCCACTAAGGCCATGCCCAAGCCCACTGGTGGGCCCCTCCCAGAAGCTTCTATGATTGAGGAGCCATCACTCTCAGCAAGTTGGCCTGACAGACACTGTGTTTTTTCCAAAGACAAACAGGGCTGACATGCCCTCTACAGAGGCGTGAGTCAGGCTTGCCGTTCGCCAGCCCTTGGGCCTGGTTTACACACTGCAACTCTGGGAGGGTGACCCATAGGACGGGGTGAGGGGCATCAGGACAGACCTGAGTAGACCCCCAAGGGTGGGGTCACGGGGCCCAGGCAGACCTGTGAACGTGTTTCCCCCTCTGTAGCGGAGACCGCGGATGGCTGCCAGCACCTCCTCCTTAGTGCCAAAGGCGTTCAGGTCCCACTCTGTCTGGGGGTCTCCACTGTACTGAGTCAAGCCTTGCAGGGAGGGGTGCACACAGCCTGCTGGAGTGCTGAGCTGGGCAAGACACCCAGCTTCCTGCTCTGCACACAGCCTGGCCTAGGGTCACCGGAGAGGGCGCCTGCTGGCTGAGCCCCAACTTCCCACCCAGAGGAGCCACCAGAACTGGCCCCAGGAGCCGGCTGATCCTCCAGTGCGGTGGGGCCCCTCCCCTCCTGCCCAGGCTGGACAGTGGGCCAGTGGGCTAGAGAGCACCTCCCTGCTCTCCCGAGGAGGCTGCCCAGTATCCACCCCACTTCCAGCTCCTCAGGAGGGGTCTGGCCAGGCCTGGGGCCCGGTACCCACCTACTTGGACTTTATCCGGCCCTATTTCAAAGGGCTCGATGACACTGGCCAGGAAGTCTTTGACCTGCTGGAAGTGACCGTAGCCAATACTCCAGGACCCATCCACCAGGAAGATCATGTCCACAGGTGTAGGGGGCGTGCAGCGGAACTGGGGGCCGGCTGGGCAGGCGGGGATGAGGTGAGGTGCTGGGTGATGCCCATCGCTGCTCTAGGACCCCGAGCCGCTCTGGGCTGGGCTCCAGCCCCCAGGATCCCCTTCCCTGGGGCTGGGGGAGGGGGAGGGGCCGTGGGCCTCTGGCCTCCAGTGCAGCGTGGGTCCCATCACTTAGAAAACCCCACATGAACCTTGGTCCATCGTCTCAGCCCTTCCGAGCCCCCCAGAGAGGGTCAATGAGACACCATGTGCTCCAGCAGCCTTGGCAGGGCTGCTCACTGCGTGGTGTCCATACAGGGGGCTGCTATGCAGGGTCCACCTTCCCTGCCCAGTCGACACCCATGCTCAGAGGGCAGCAGCTGGGGTGGGTGAGGGGTCAGCACTGTGGACAGCTCCAGGCAGGGCTGGGCGCTGTCTGTGGGGCCAGCTCTGGGCTGAGGCTTCACCGTCGGAGGTGGGGGGTCCTGAGCACCCAGGATCTCTTTAGAGACAAAGCCAGACCCCCCGATCTTGGGCTCCCTGAGAATTTTGCAAGACAGCACTTCCAGGCGGAGCCCCAGAGCCAGGGCCAGACCCCGCGTGGAGGCTCCTGGGCAGGGTAAGTGAGGTGAGACCCCCGCCCAATGCGGGAGGCACAGCCAGGCCCTAAAGACCTTGTGTGGTGGGGAGACCATCCTGGTGGACCTCAAGCCCACTGGAGACCCAGACCCAAGACCCCACGTGAGAGGGGCTGTGCCTGTATGAGAAGGGAGACACCTCCTTCCATTCCAAATCTGATTTGGGAGATAAAGTCAGGGACATCCAGGTCCAACAGACAGGGGAGGCACAGCCCTGCCCACAGGGCCTCAGGGCCCGGCAGAAAATGCCAGGTGTGTCTGCGCTGCCCCGGGTCACACAGCGGCCCCACCCCACAGGCCAGCAGAGGTGGTGCCCTGGTGGTTTTACCTGGCTCCTCTCTCCCTCCAGCGGAGGCCCTGGCTCGGCTCTGTTTCTCCAGGCCTGGGGTGGGCTGAGTGGGCGCCTTCCCCCCAGCATCTGTCAGTGACCGCTGCCCCTCGCCAGGCACTCCTGGGGGAGGTCACAGCTCTGTCACCTCTCACCTGCACAGGCTGGGGGGCGCTGGGCACTGGAGCCCCAAGTACACCCCCAGCGGGTGACCTGCTCTCAGGGGTTAGAGTGAGCCCAGGAGGGTGGCAGGTGAGCTTCAGGTGAAGCTAGAGAGTGTGAGGTCAGATGTGAGGAAGAACTTCCCGGCCACATGGGGAGAACACGTGAGATGCTGAAGATTACTCCCTCCTCCCCGAGACTCACCCTCACCCCACTTTGACCCACCAAGAGTGGGTGGGTCTTGGCTTGGGACCAAGGCGACTTGGGGCTCAGGGTCTAGGCTCCCCATACGGGAAGGGGTGGGCTCCAGGGCTGCACCCAGTGGCCTCCAGCTGCTCCTGCCCACGGAGTTACTCTTCAAATCTGTGACTGCAGAGAGACCCGAGGGGCTGTCAGGACCCCACCACCCAGGGTGGTAGCAGAGGCTTCGGGGGCCTGCGCACAGAACCCTCGCCACAATGGCGCACCCCAGGCTCCGTGGGTCCCGGCCCCCGCGAGGCAGGCGGGGGTGTCAGGAGCTGTAAGCTGGTCTCCCAGGCAGCTGCATGGGGAGCTGGGACTCGAACCCAGGCCTGGGACTCCCAGCCCAGCTCCCGACAGCGCTCAGCTCCCCCCGCCGTTCCATGAACACTCACCCCAGAGGCTGGAATCCCAAGTGGGGTGGTGGACTTACTCACAAACTCCCTCCGAGCCAGCAGGACGTTTCCTGAGCCAGTGAGCTCGAAGATCTGCACGCTGTACCCCTTGGAGGGGCTCAGGCCGCCCACGGTGGCCTTGGGGGTCTTGGTGTTCAGCATCACCTCCTGCTCTGGGTCCCCTGGCGTGGGGGTGGGGAGAGCTGTCGAGGCCGCCAAGGTGGGCGGGTGTGGGTATGCATGTGTGTATGTATGTGCTGTGTGCCCTCCTGGGTACCGCATGTGCTTGTGTGCATGCAGGCATGCCTGTGTGTCGGGGAGAGGTCAAACCCTCCAGGTTCCTCCTCTTCCCCTCCCCTCCTCCTCTGCTCTGGGCAGGCAGTGGGTCTCTGCTCCTCCCTGGGGGTCTGCTGGGAGGGCCTGTGCTCCTGGGTCATGAATTGAGAGAGAAGGTATCTCTGCAGCAGCAAAATACTACGTCCTTGAGCAAGCCTCTCCAGAGGGGCTTACCCATAACCCCCCGGTGCCCAGGACAGCAGCCTCGGAGACACCACGCAGGTGTGAAGATGGAGAGGGAAGATGACTGGAGGAACCAGGCCCCCGCTCTGTGCACGGGGCTGGACGGCATGATGCCGATGAGCCTGTAACGCCTCCAGCTCTGACTCCGTGAGTCCTAGCTCGGGGGCTGGGTTTCAAGTATTAAAGACAAATAGAAGATTCCAAAGGGTACATGGCCATATTCTCAGAGGACCTGGGGACACGGCCGTATTCTCAGAGGACTTGGCCTAGGAACAGAGCGGGAGAGACCGCTGCTGGGCGTCAGGAAGCACTTGGCGACTCTCTCGTCCAGATGCAGAAGGGCATGGAGGAGAGACCCTCGCTCCTGCACCTGGAGAGGAAGCCACCTGTCGCCCATCATGTGTGGCAGGTGGCTCCCAAACCCGGACCTCGCCCCGCACTGGGGAGGTGGGACAGGGCGGGGAGTCGTCGGGGTCACTAGGCAGGCGTTTTGTTGCCATTGTGATTTATGGCTAACTTTTACTGAGCATTCACTGCGTGCCTGGCAGCAACCCAGGCGCTTCACATGCACCAAGATGTGAGATCTTTGCAAACCCGTTACCCGACTTTGTAGATGGGAAAACTGAGGCCCCAGGGACCAAGCCACATAGCCACTCAGTGGTGGAACCAAGATTTAAACCAGGCCTGTGAGATTCCTGAGCCCACCTGCACAGATGTGTGTTAACAGTAACAGATGGTGGGAGTCACATCCATGTGTGCCCACACACACACGTGCATACATGCACACGACACTGCCCTGCTCGGTGCCCACCCACGTCACCTGGCCTCGGGGACTTGGGGCTCCTGACTTGTCAGTATAGGCTTTGCTCACATTTGCCCAAAGGCCTGCCATTTCTTTCTTCTGAACCCTCTCCTGTCCCCCCACCTCCACCCCCACGCTGCGTGCTGGGGGCTGGCTTCATGCAGTTGGAGCTTCACACACGAGAACAAAGTCCTAATCCCATATGCCCTGCACACTCTCACGGGCTCATTATTTTTAAAAGAAGCTAAGAATTTTTTAAAGACAAAGTGTTAAATAGATCACAAGCCAGCAGCTTCAATGCAATAGCTCAACAAGCACTGACTGAGGCTGCCTGTGCTCGTGGCCTGAAGATCCTGGCAAACACCGGTTCTACAGGGCGACCACCCATCCACTCACACCAGCGCAGAGACTACACGCAATGGCAGCAGTCAGGCTTCCGCTCTTGGGCTGGTGGGCTACGTAAATCAGACAACTCTCCTGCTGTGTTAGGAAAACTGGATAGAAAACTTTTAAGAATCTGCTTGAACCAAGAGCTAACAAGGCAGTGAAGAATCGCAAGGCCACAATCCAAAACTCAAAGAAGTCAGCCCAGCCACTGGTGCTGCCTTTACGCTAGAAGTGTGTTACCAACGGAATGTGTGCATCCTTCCAAATTCACTTGTCGACATCCTAACCCCCACGGTGATGTATTAGGAGGTGGGGCCTGTAGGAGGTGATTAGATCCTGAGGGTGGAGCCCCCAGCATGGAGGTGGGCCCCCATAAAGAGGCCCCAGAGAGCTCTCTTGTCCCTTCACCATGTTAGGACACAGCGAGCAGACGGGATGCTATGAACCAGGAAGAGAGCTCTCACCAGGAACCTGACCGCACTGGCACCCAGACCTCAGACTTTCAGCCTCCGGGACTGTGAGAAATAAATGTTGTCTGGGATTCTTGGCCTGTAGTAATTTGTCAGAGCAGCCCAAACGGACTAAGACAGGGTGGCTGGAAGAGAGGCCGAAGGCCGAGCAGGCTTGAGGGGCTTGGGGGCTTGAGGGACAAGAAGAGGCGTCCAGGCCCTTTGAGGAAGTGAGTCCTTGGCACCTTCCCTCCCCCCCCAGTTCTTTGGGTTGAGACCCTGAAGAGCCACACCGAGGAGCAAGCATTAATGGGGAGACACGGGCCCTTGAAGGGACTGAAGTCCAAAGTCAAATAATCTTAACTTCTAAATCTGAATGAAGATGACCCAAAACTGCTGTTTCACATCTGTCAGAAGCAAACACAACTGTGTCTCAAGGAGAACAATGTTCTACGAGGCCACAGATTGTTTCTGAAAGATTCCACAATGTCTGGCCCTCAATGCAAAGTAGCCAGGTGTACAAAGGAGCAAGACAACATGATCGAAAGTTAAGGGAAGCACAGACAAGAGAAAGAGACCCACAGATTTCCCAGATAGTGGAGTTGTGAGACTTTAAAATAACCATGCTAACTAGTTTGAGGATTTAAAAGACAAGCCCAAGAATTTGGGTATCAGAAACAATAAAAAAGAAATGCTGGAATGGAAAAACCAAATGGAAATTTCCAAATGGAAATTCTAGAATGGAAAACAAAAACTGGAGTTAGGAATTCAAAGAACGACTTCACAGCTTCTTAGACACAGATGAAGAGATAAATAGTGGAAGACAGGTCAGAATAAAAACACAGAATTAAGAATAGACAAAGAAATTTAAAATACAGAAGAAAGAGTAAGAGGCATACCCATGACCCACACTGAGAGGATGTGCACGTGTGTCGTCAGAGTCCCACAAAGAAGAGAGAGAAAATGGGGTCCAGGAAATATTTGAAGAGATATGGCTGAAGAAGTTTCCAAAACTATAAGAGATTAAGACACAGATTCAAGAAGTCTTATGAATGTGAAGCAAGATAAAAAGAGATCCACACCTAAGAACATCAGCTTAAATGTGCTGAAAACTCAAACAGAAAAAAAATCTTAAAAGCAGTCAGGAAAAAAAGAAAGTGAGACATTACATCTAATGGAGCAACAATTGGACTGAAGACTAAATTCTCAAAAAAAAACCCAAAACCAGAAACCAAAAGACAATAAAAAGATTCTTCAAAGTGCTGAAAGAAAGCGCCAGCTCCAAATTCGATCCCAGCGACAATCTCCTTTAAGAATGAAGGTGGAATAAAGACATTTTCAGACAAAAAAAAAACCCTCCAAAACAGAATTTGCAACTGGCGATCCATACTAGAGGAAACACTAAAGACTATATTCAGGCAGGAGAAAAGCAATCCCAGATTGGGAGGCTCCGCAAGGAATAAAGGACAATGAAAGGGTAGATACTTGAGTTGGTCTACATTAATATTGAACGGATACAACTACAAGGATGAAAATGCTCTTTGAGATTTGACGTAGATGCAGAATTGACATGCATGAGAGGGGGCAATCGCAGCTGTGATGTTCCAGGTCCTGGCACTATCCAGGGGCTGATGTAGCCGTCATGTCTGTTACGAGCCATAAGTTAATGTGCGTGTTGTCTCTGGGGGGATCACTGCAACAGTAAAGGCACACACAACTCCCAAGCAGACTGGGGACGGGGAATAAGAAAAAGCGCTCAGTCATCTCACACCTACTGATCAATCTTCACTTCACACAAAAAATGAGACACTAGACATTGTGTACCTCTAGTTGTGGTACAACAGGAATTACACAGAACCACTGAAAAATAATTCTTCTTAACAAAATATAATCAAACTTAAATCTCTGGGACCTAACCGTCAATCTACAGGCAATTTCAGGAGAGAGGAACAATCTCAGTGGCACCACGGAGCTGCCATCAGCAAAATGCAGAATGTCAGAAGTTCCCAGGACAAGCCATCTTCTTTCTTCAACAAATAAAAATGTTAAGGAAAAGGAGGAGGGAAGAAACTGTTTTAGATTAAACATTACCTAAGCCATAAGAACCAAATACAGTGTGTGGACTATGTTGGGATCCCAACTGCAAGAGGCCAACTGCAAAAGACGCCCATCAGACAAGCTGGAAGGCCTGGAGCACTTCTATTTGGGGGCACGGCAGTGGGGTTATTGCTGAGTCCTCCTTCTAGTGACACACACCAAAATATTTACAGACGAATTATGTGATGCTCGAGATCTGCTCGAAGCTAATTCAGTCTATGGGAACAAGGAGAGAGCGAATTTTCAACAATTAGAGAAGCAGTATGGGCCATATGTTGATAATTGCTGAAGCTAAATCACGGGAACCCAAGGTTTCATTATGCTCTGCTCTCTTCCCTGCCATGTGTTTAAGTTTTCCCATAAAAATTCAATTGCAAAGAAGACAACAAAGGAGAGAAAAAATTATAACAAGTGTAACAAAAAGAAAACAGGAAGATGGCAGACTTAACCCCAAATATAATCAGTAATTTCATTAAATGTAAATGGAAAAATGTTTCAATTAAAAGGCAAAGACTGTCACATTGGATAAAAACAACACCAATCACGTGCTCCTTGGAAGATGCATCTACAATGAAAGGCTGGAGAAAGGCTGAGCCAGCGAATGGGAAAGACGTTCAGTGCAAACACCACGGGCCGGAACAATGCTGACCTCACACAAAGCAGAGCGCGAGCAGATGGCCTCAGGCGTGTGAGGGAGTCTCATCAGAGGGTTCAGTCCACCCGGACGACACAAGAACTCTAAATCCACATGCACCTCACAACAGAGCCGCAGCACATGCAACAAAGACTGGCAACACCACCAGAGAAAGAAAAACCTAAGGAACTGTAATGGGGATTTAAAATATTCCTCTGAGTAACTACTAGGATAAGCAGACAAAGAAAATTAATAAAAACATAAAATATTTGAAAAATAAGGTAGATAAATTTGGCTTCACTAAAACATTAGAAAACTGCAGCCAAGTGCCAAGTGGGGTTGTCCTGGGAGCAGAGAGTGGTGGAGACTGGAGGGGCCTCAGGGGCCGGGACACACCTCTTTTCACGGGAACCCAGGTTTGCACTCGCAGTGTGCCAGTTGCTGTGATCACACCCCATTGCGGGCTTTCTGCAGGCTTGTGAGCTGGCAGCCGCTGTCGCGTCTGGAGGCTCTTTGCTGGGCCTGTGCTAACCTTCCCGGGCAGCCCGGCCCCTCCCGTGAACCGCGAGCTAGCCCTGAGAGTCAGGTGCCCGCCCGCGGGGTCGCTGGCACACAGATCCTGAGGGGCTCTCAGTGTGAGGAGGGGCTCACAGCTTCTTCAGAAGACACTGACTGAGTGCCTTCTGCATGTGCCAGACGTGGGGACGCAGTGATGGGAATTTTGAAGGCCTCCATCCCCAAGTTAGTGAGGGCAGACAGACAGGAGGGAAAGCAGAATCACAGGGACACATGGGTGCTGAGACGCAGGAGCTGGCACTGGGACTGCCCTGCTGACCACTGTCACTGCCAGCCCTCACAGCAGGGGGAGGCGCAGGCCCCTTACCTGCCACGGGCTTCACCTGCACCAGGTAGCCGAGGCCGCCCCCCTCTGATGCCCTCCACTTCATCTGCAGCCGGTCCTCGGGCAGCACGGACAGCCTCAGGCGGCTGCTCCCTGCAGAGAGAGAATGGGGTTTTCAGGACCGACACCAGGGACCACCAAGACCAGCTGTGGGGCCAAGGGAACCCGTCCTGAGCGGTGTGAGGGGGCGTGGCCACATCTGGGTTCTGAGGAGGCCTTGGCCCCACTGGGGGGACTTGAGAAGACAAGGCCCTGCCCGGGGCTGGAAGAGCACTGAGCCCTCCTAAGGGTCTGAGGTGCCAGGGCCGCCTGGTAGCTCCAGCGAGAGGGAGACCGCCCCACCCAGGGAGGCCCCCACCCATCTCTCCTAGTGGTGTCCCCCCGCCCTGTCCCTGCCCAGTAAGGATCAAGCCAGTGTCCTGGGTGGCAGTAACCGCCGGTTGGCACCCTTGGGTGCTGAGGTAACACAGCAGCTGCCAGGCCACATGGGGCCTGGAGCTGGCCCAGAGTCCTCGCCCAGTCAGCCAGAGAAGCCCCTTGCAACTACAGACCCCCAGCTGCCTAGGTCACAGCCAGGTTCACATGGCTCCATGAAGGTGGGGGTGCCCTGGAGTGGGGTGCCGTGGCCGTCTTGGGAGGAGGAGGGGCAGTGCTCGACCTCCCGGGGAAACTTCCGGGAGCTTCATGGTGGTGGTGGCTATTTTTGGAAAATGAAGACAGAGATGGGCTTCTTGTGGCCACCCCACCGGGAGCTGGGGCACAGGGAGAAGGGCAGGGGCTGCGGGCGCCCAGGGCAGACACAATGACGGCTTCAGAGTAGGAAGCAGCTGAGCTCGAACTCCGGATGGGCCCGCTGCTCCTGGCAGTGTCGGGCTGAAAGGCAGCAATGTCTTGGGGGTGGGGGCTTTGAAAAGCCACTTGTGAGCAGGGGGCCCGGCTCCCGCTCATGAAGAGCTCTCTGTCTCATGGCGCCTCTGACACAGTCGGGGAGACATCCCGGGCTGCCTTCGGGAGTCCGCGTGTTGGGGGCCTTGGCGGGGTGTGGGTAGACAGCTGGCGGCCAGCTGGCGGGAGGCAACCCCTAGGAGCACTCCCTCCCCAGGACCATCCTTGGGGAAGGGTAGCCTGCATATTAGGGCCCCGCCCAATCCAGCCCTCCTCCGTGGGGTCTGCCCAGAGCCTGAAAGGGACCCTGTGAGGGGCTGAATCCTGAACTCGAGTTGTCTGTGGGATCACTTAGTGACTTGGCCCCACCTTGGGGTGACCCTGTCAGACCCCCAGGGACCGAGGGACCCGCCCAGGCGGCAGTTGTCAACCTGTGTGCAAAATAAAAACGAGGAAAACATGCTGCAAAGTAAGAGAGGGGTCAGCAGACCTGCGGCTCCACGCTGGGTCTGGCTGTGCCATGCGCCCCTCCCTCTCTGCACACGGCGACGGGCAAGAAAACGCATTTCAAACAGAAACAGAGTCAGATGCAGACAGCGTTAGACCTCGGCAGTAACCCAAAGCGCAGCTTCAAACTGTGATGGCGCCTTCTCCTGCCCTCATGAGACTCAGTGGGAGCCAGGACCTGCGGGCCGTGGGTGAAGCCAGCCGGCTGCGTGACCAGAGCCTACAGCGCCCCCTAGGACACAGAATCTGCCTTCCCAGGATGGGTCCAGTCCACGCCCATCACGAGAGAAGCTCGGCAAAGACGCCTGCTGGTGTCGTGGGCAGCGTCCCTGCTGGGGTACTACCGAGGACAGGGCAGTGAAGGCCACCCGAGAGGGAACTGCCCTAAATGTCCACTGGGGAGTGGTTAGATCGAAGCATCCTCACTGGACGTGTGCAGCCACCAAGAGGTGTGGCCCAGAACACAATGCATGTGTGAGCCGCCGCGGGCAGGCGCCGTGCGGGGAGACAGCTCGGCAGGACTGCATGCTCACTCGACGTGCCTCGGCTGAGCTGGAAGGCTCTAGCAGCCTGCAGCCCACAGGGCAGTGCTTTCCCCTGGGGAGGGGGTTGGGGAAGGGGCTTTTTACTTTTTCCTCCAGATTTGTGCTGTTTGAAAACTTTACATCAAAAAGGCACCCGTGGAATAGTTCAAAACGAAACAGTAACATGAGAGAATTAAATGCACAGTGTGTTGATACCTTAAAAAAAAACAACCAGAAAACACAGAAGCACTCCTAAGCAAAGGGAGCCATCACGAGAGCAAAGGTCAAGCTGAAAACTGAGAGTGGCCCTTTGGGCAGAGGGGCACAGACGCCTCTGGGCCGTCTGGTCTTCACTCATTGATTACGTCTTCCACTGGGAACAGCAGCTCCTGGGGATGGTGGGGAGCCAGGGGGGAACGCTCGTCTGCTGCGGGGCCTCTGCCCTGGGCAGGTACGGCCTCGGTGGGTGGCTGGGGGCAGGCAGGGGCCACAGTCCCCAGGCAGCCCCCGACCCCACGTCCTTACCATGTCCCTGGCAGAGTCCCATGGTGACACCGAGCCATAGCCAGAGCCAGATCCCGTGGTGGGGACGCCCCCGGGCGCTCATGGTATTTAGCCTGCAGAAGGAGGAGGGCCACTCAGCCATCTGTCCATCCGTGTGTCCCCTCCTGATGCTGTAAAGCCAGAGCTACACCATCCACGTTCTCGTGGGCCAGGGGTCTGAGACCATGCTGGGCATCCCCATGTACACGTGGGGAGACCCTGAGACCTGAAGTCCTCATCTAGGCAATGCTGCACCCCACAGCCACCCCTACCCTCCCATCCACAGTGGGCCGGCAACCCGCAGGGCCTGGCCAGGTGCTTACTGGAGCGAGAGGTCAGCTGCCCTTCTCCTGCTCACCCCTCGACGCGTCTGACCCAATCACAGCCTCTGGTCCTGCATCCTGCCCTTGGGACATTCTCCATAGGCCAGCACGGGGCCCTGTCCACTATTCCGGTCACTCACTTGCCAATAGACCAGACTGGGACGGCCGCTGTCAGGGCCGAAGAGCTTGGGGTGGAAACTGAGGTTGGGTTGGGGTGGGGGCAGGCCCTGCCAGCAGCATCAGAGCTGGGACTGAGACCTCAGTTTGAGAAGAACCCCTCAGGGGTGGCACAGGTGCCCCTCTGCTGGCCCCAGGAGGAGCTGTTCCAGCTAAGGACTGGCCTCAGAGCTGGCCTCTCAGTGGGGAGGGGGAGGCCCGAGGAGGTGGGTTGGGGTCCTGGGAGAACCCTCTGAGGGAGCCCCTCCCACTCCAAGCTGCACACTGCCTGGGGGCTGCCTCTGAGCCTCCGCTGACAGTGCAGAGGGGACACGCAGCGCAGGCGCCCAGGTCCCCGGCCACCCTCAACCCAGCACACCTGGAGCAGGTGGTGGCCAGGACAGGTCTGTTGCCTGACTGCTGAGCTCGTGGAGGTCCCAGGGCTGTGGAGGAGCTGGAGGGCGATGGATGGGTTATCCGGGCACCCCAGATCCTAGACCCTCCTGATCCACATTCTGAAGCCAGACCCCTCCCCTACCTAGAAAACTGGCCTGACTCAGAGGGACTCCTGCCAGCACACAGAGGTCATGGCTGTGAACAGACCTCTCCATGGCATCTGCCCAGACCTGGTGGCCCCTCCATGTCCACCCAGCCTCCTGGAGAGTCACCAACCTGCTCCTGTCCAAGGGCAGCGTCCCTCGATCCCTGCCAGCTCCAGTTCACTCTGGTCCTGCTGCAGCCACAAGGAGGCAGGAGCTTATGAGGGCCCCTTTCCTCGACGTCACTGCCCCAGCCCACCCATGGTCCACCCCTCAGCCTCCTCCCCCACTTGGCTCTCCACCCTTCCTGTCTGCAGCCCGGGAGTCAGGGGCACAGAGATCCCAGTGTGAAAGACCCCACCACACTGTGGGGTGGGGATCTCACCAGGGATTGGGGCGGGGGGAGGTACAGTACTGACCAAACACCTTCATCCCTCACCCACAGGGTCTGTCCCAAAGACAGACTCATGGGGATGGTACTTCAGGGACAAAGCCCACCACGTGTGGCCATGGGTGCCAAGCTGTGGGTGATGGGCACTGGGGGGGGCGGTCCCTGGCAGCCTGAGGGGGCAACCTGGAATAGCACGTGGACCATACCAGCCTCCACCACCCCCCTCCTTCAGCACCACCCCCAGGGCCCAGAACCCCAAACCCAAGCCGTCCGGGCCTGTCCAGTGGTCTCCAATGCCCAGGTCCACACCCTCACTGACCCCCACCATAAGTCTCCTCTGTGGTGGTCACTTTCCCACAATCCTCCCCAGCCTGCAAAGGTCAGCCAAGCCCGGCCCCTCCCTGTGTCCCCCCAGCCCACCCTGAGAGCTCCACGGCCTGGCCAACAAGGCTCCCACTGGCTGGCCCTGGGGAACGGTGCTTGGGAGGGGGCACCCACCACAACCAGACCCCAGGACCTGCCCAACCTCGACAGAGACCTGCCCCCACCCCGGACCTGCCCCTGGGTCTACTGACCCTGACTCAGACCCCCTCCTGCCCCTGCCCCCACCAGACCCTTGGGTACCCGCTCCTGCCCAAGAGGCTGCTGGGGCCCCTCTGGCCCTGCTCTGGGGCAGCTTCCTGAGGCAGAAGCACTCCTGGGGAGGCGGGCACTGCACAGGACCTCCAGCTGCTGGCGGGCAGTGCAGGTCGTAGTCCAGATATCCCATTCACTGGAGGCTGGGAGGGGTCGGTGGGCTGAGAAGGTGGGGCTGGATGTTGCTGGGGGGTGGTCCTTCCTTCCTGGACTCCCGCAGGAGCTCTTGTCCCCAGCCGCCTCCCCCATAGGGCAGGCTGCAGGATCCAGCCTGTTCCACCACTTTGCCCCTGCATCCAGTCCACCACCTTGAGGGCTGGGAACGTTGCTGGTGGAGGTCCAGGTCCCAGGCCCCTTGGAGTGCCCCTCCTTCCCCTGTCCTGCCTGTGTCTGAGCCAGCACTCGCCCTGGCAGGTGGCGCTCCTGTGGAGGGAAAGGGCCTCAGACCCTCTGCCCCATGAGGACCCCGGGGCAAAAGGAGCTTCTCCACTTGCCGTGTCCCGAGAGCCGCCCGAGCCTGAGGTCTGGAGCCTGGACGCTAAGATGCTGCAGAGCTGGTGGACGCTGACTGCTGGGCGTCCTGGTACCTGTGCCCCAGCCGAGCCATTGGGCCCTACAGACCCGAGCTGTGGCCAGCAGAGGGCGCCTGGTCTGGTGGACTCCCACACTCACACAGCGGATACGTGTGTCCATTCAGGCTCACAGCCACTCCGGGCACGTGTGTGCACTCACACACATCACTGAGGCGCCGCCCTCCACAGATGCAAGCCAGTCAGGTCCTCGGTGCTCTTGGCTGGGCCCCATCAGCTCCTCATCCATGTGCCCAGGGCCCCTGCACCCAGAAGGCACTTGATGCCCGTGACGCCCCCACAGCCTCCAAGACCACCTAGCAGTGCTGGGGCCCAAGCTGCCCAGGGGCCCAGCTTGAGAAAGGACAGGTCAGAGCCAGGTGCTGCCTCTTGCTCAGCAAGAGTCCTGTCATCCTTCCCAAAGCGACACAGCAGCCAGCATCCTGGCCGGCTCACATCACCCCCATTCCAAAATGGGATGTGAAGCTGGGCAAGGTCAGTCCTGGTACCTTAGCCAAGGAGCCTGGGGCACACAGATGGTAGAGACTGGCTGATAGGCCTGAACTGGTGGTAAACATGCTGGTCACAGATCAGCCCGGCCTCCTGGAGCTGGAGCCTGGGCGGGACGGCAGCCTCATGGTCCATGGTCTATTCTCCTACCCAGCTGGCCCGAGGCAGAGGCCCGGCTGGCAAGCACAGGTGGGTGGGACCAACTGAGATTCAGCCAATAGACTCCAGGACCTGCCTTCCCACCGGGGCCACACCCAACCTGGACCTGCCTCCCTACTCAGGACCACTGCCTTCACCTGTCCAGCCTCAGCTCACCCGCCCCACACTGCCCAGGCAGGACAACCCCCACTTGCCTCTCCCGGCCACCTTTCCTCCAGCAGGTGGCTTCAGGATGTAGGCTCAGGTGGAGGGCACAGAGCCCAGGCAGCCTGCTGGTGGCCCCACACACGGGGGCTGGGGTGTCTCCACCCAGGCCCAGGTGAGCCTCTCTGCTGGCCCACCCATCAAGGAGTCACTGCCCAGCCCCAGGTCCCAGGCAGATGCCCACTGAGACCTTTCTGCTCTCCCTGCGAGCGCCTGGCCTGCACCCATGGGAGCTCCATGGGCACCTGGCCTGCCCCCCACCCGCACCCAGGCTGGAAACGGCTCCTCAGGGGCTCGCCAAACCATCTGTGTTCCCACACACTTTATTGTGACACACGTCCCTGTGCAGGAGGGGGAACTGGACACTCAGGCCCATGCACGCAACGCAGCAGAGAGAAGTCCTCGCACCTGTCCTGGGCCCCACCTCGGACAGCACCTGCAGAGCAAGGGTGTCTGTCCTTTGCTGGTGAGTGGTCTCTGACCACCACATCCGAGCATTCCAGAAGCAGACGTGGAGAGCAGACGCGCTATGGGCACGAGCCTAAGAACTCGGAACACAGTCCTTGTAATCACTGCACTTGGCATGGGAGGGGGCTCCCATGCAGACAGACTCCCAACTTAATGTGGCCTCTTGGGCCCGAAGGGACAAGAGAAAACTGCCCCAACGCCACGGAAGCCTCCAGAGCTGAGAGCAGAAGACCCGTGTGAGCTTCCACCCTGACAGGCAGCCCTGGTACAGAAACATGGGACCGCACATCCTCGTCCTGCTGGGCGCTGACCCCAGGCAGAAGGCCTGCAGCGGCCACATTCAGAGTCCCCGCTCCAGGGAGAAAACGTCGGCTGGTGAGCACCCTCACCTCTGGCTCAGCTCTCCTGAGCACCTGCACTCCACAACCCTTGGTCCCCAGCTGGCGGACTAACTGTGGGTTTGGCTCTTGGTCTGACCTGGGGCTTCTCATCACCCTAGACCTGATCTCTGACCTCAGACCCAAGTGCAGCAGGCTGCTGGTCCAACGACCGAGACCCTCAAGTGGCCACCAAAGGCACAAGTGCTCTGCACCAGGCATCCGCTCCCCTCTGGGGGCGCCCTCCTAAAAGGAGAGCTGTGGTGCAGGGCTGTCCCATGCAGGCCCATCTGTCACTTCTGGCTCAGGGTTGTGCTGCAGACCAACACACGCTGTGACCTGGCTGCTCCTGGGCTACACGGCCATCTGAGGGCGGGCACCCATGTGGGGAGAGGGGCCTGTCCACGGAACAGCGGCCACCAGCCCAGGGCAGGGAACAGGCACGTCCCACACAAATAAACCATACAGGAGGCCACAGGTACATACAATGCCCAGTCAAAACTTGGCTGACGGTGCCACAAGGGTCAGCAAAAGTGGGTGCGGGGACAGAAAACTGACCATGGCCTTGTCACATGCTGGGTCGACCACAGGGAGGGGTGGCCAGCAGCGGTGGCTCACAGCCAAGTGGGCTCTGGGTGGATGGTGAGCTCCCCCCAACAGTGCAAGAACAGAGGGCCAGCAGAGGAAGGACAGTGCTGTGTGGCAGCTAAATGCCAGCAAGGACAGGAGTGGTGGTGACCGGCCTGATGCAAACTCCCCCCACACTCCCACTGCCAGAAAGACTTGGCATCACGGGGACTACTGGTTTACTGGCACACACCTCAAAACACCAACAGGCAGACACACCGGAGCGGCATGGCAGAGGCCCCTGCCTGGGCAAAGGCCCCACACTGCTCCTCAATGAGCGTACCCTGCCAGTACGGCCCCCCAGACCTGGTTGGGGACTGACTCGGGCTTGGAGGGCACTCAGGGCCTTCCTTCCTTCCTAACCACACTGGAATCTTATTTCCACGTTTCTGAGCTGCACGGGCATCCCTGGCAGGTGCCACCATCAGCTCCGACAGGCACGGCTGAGTTGAAGCACTGCCAACAGGCTCAGGTGTCCAGTGTGAGGTGGAGCCCACTGGGTTGTGCGTGCGGCCGCTTATGCAGGACTGGACGGGCGGATGAGGGAGAGCCCCTGGGTGAGTCACAGCCAGCTTCCCAGCATGCAGAGGGCACAGGCTGGTGGGGGCGGGGTTCCAGGGCGGGGCAAACAGTGGTGCAAGCTCTGGTGCTGCTCTATCTCCATCTCTAAAACCCCAGGCGTCTTCCTCAAAGAGAAAGAGAACCAGAGGGAACACGGAGTCAAAGCCCCTTCCAGAATGCACTCTCATTCCTGACACCGCGGCTGCGGGGTTTATTAGTGAGCACGTACGTCCTCCCGCAGCAGCAGGGGTCCGGCCCTCAATGGGGCCTGGCCCCAGGGCCCAAGAGCTACCCCAGAATCCCAGGAGAGCAGGGACACAGATGCAAGACACAGGATGGCCTCTGCCCCGTGACGTGAGCGCCTGCTCCCACTCGGCAGGCAGCATGGGCCCCAGGGCCCCGCCCGAGGGGCTGTCTTCACACACCGCTGCTGCCTCTTGGGTCAAACAGATGAGGCTGGAGGAGGGCAAAGTGCAGACAAGACGGGGGCCCCAGGGGCTGGGGCGCGAAGGGCCTACCAGTCCTGGTTGTCCCAGCCCTCGTCCACCAGCGCTGTTGGTGGCGGCGCCACCTTCTTGGCGGTCTTGGCTCTGCTCTCCCCGCCACCCGCCCAGGCCTCCCCACCGTCGCTGTGGTCGCTGTTCTTGTTGTTGGATGCGGAGCCTGAGCCCCACACGTCCCAGCTGTCCGAGCTCCTCTTCTCGGCCGAGGCGTCAGCGCACGTCCAGCTGTCGCTGCTCGGGGACCTGTGCGCCCTGGAGGGGTCGGCACTCCCGAAGGTCTCCCAGAAGCTCTGGTCGATGGAGCTGTTCTGGCAGTTGTCCCCACCACTGTTCTGGTAGCTCTGGCCCTCCGGGGGTCTTGAAAAGAGAGGGGGACTCTGAACAGCTGCCTCACAAAACCAGGAGACCAACGGGGCAGTGCCTCCCGAGCCACCGGGCCTTTGCTCTGCATCAGCATCTCCCGAGAGAGAGCTCAGACCTGAGGCCCCCAGCTCCACAACCCCAGGCCCAGAGCGCTCGGCCAGGCCTCTCAGGGTCTGGGAGTTGTTCTTCCTGTTCTAGGGCAGAGGAACCAGGCCTCAGCGCAGCTCCGCCATGGAGCTGAGGGCATGGACCTGCTGGAAAGAGTCAAACAGGCCTCCTGCCACCAGACCCACACTCCATCAGTCCCACCCAAAATAGAGAATGTCTGAAGGAAAACATAAAACATCGGTTTTCTGCAACCATTAAGGAAGAAAAACAAACCCAGCGCTCTTGGGCCTCATCCACACTGCTGAGAGAATCAGCTGGGGATGCAGGCTGCCCTCAGAGAGCCCCTGAGCTGAGCTGAGCCCGCCAGAGCTGCAGTCACACCATTTAAAATGCCAGACATCATGTCGGAAAGGGTGGCGTGGCACTCTGCCACAAGCATGGAGACGTATCCCAGTGCCCACCACGGCCAGCCCCAGAGGCCACTGCTCCACACCCAGCCTGCGGCCGTCTCCCCATCACATCCCCAGGGTCCCACCTGTGGGGTCAGAGAAGGAGAAAGCCAGCCAATGGCGCTTCCAGCAGAAAGGGCCAGCACCAGCCCTAAGAGCAGACACCGCCCCACTTGCCCAGATTCCAGGAGACAGTGGGCTCAGAGCTGGCTGCCCCCCAGCCCTGGGCAGTGGGAGTTCCTGCCAGGGTCAAAGTGGAAGAGGAAAAGACACCAGCCGTCCTCTCTGCACCTCTAGAGGCCTCAGGGCTTTTGCACTATGACCCCTGAACCCTTGGGGCATGATACACCTGTCCCCCAGGCAACTGCCTCCCAGAGACCCCGCAGGAAGAGCCTGGGGAAGGGAGGCCCACGTCAGGACAGGGGGCCTGGCATACCTGTCCGAGGGGTCCTCCGCTCTCCCAGAAAAAAAAGTGGTCACATCCCGCCATCCCCTACTGCCAACTCCCTGGACCTGCAAGGAGACGGGAGGAGGCAGCTCAGTGGCGGTTGACCCGAGCACGCCCACGGCATCCTGCTGAGGCCTAGTGAAGCTTGGAAACGCGACACAGCAGGGCCCAGGCACCCTGCCTCCAGCAGGGTCTGCTGGGGTGGGCAGGCACCCATGTGGAAGTGAGGCTGCAGCCCTCAGGAGCTCAACCCGAATGAGGCGAGTTGCGAGTGAAGCTCCCGGCAGGCACACGGAGTCCCCGCGGGCCTCCTCCCACCCAGAGAGCCTCGCACTGGGAGCAGGGTGACATGCACACCCCAGCCCCGGCTTTAAGGCAGAGACGGCGGGCCGTTCCCAAGCACACTGAGAGGCCAGCACTCACCAGGGAGAGATCAGCGGCAGCAAGACAGGGCAAAAGGAAAAGAAGCGACAGGTTAGTGGCTGTGACAGGCCCTCGTCAAGCTGTTTCCATATTCCTCCAGCTGTCGGCACCAGAGCATCTACCTGACCCTCCTCACGTCTCAGAGGATGCCGGGCCACAGAAGTGACTGGGGCATGAAGCCCCCAGGCCCCTGCCTGCTCTCGGTTCCAGGGGCCCTGGAATATGGAGACTGGCTTCCAGCTGCGCCCGCACGTCAAGCGGGGCCTGCCCTACCTTAGACGCCAACTGAGAGACCCCACTGGACACATCATCAAAAATCTTTCCCTCCTTCACCTACAAGGATTGAAACAGCAGTGTTAGCTGAGGCCAGAAGCCCCACAGCAGCCCAACCCTGAGAGGACATGCAGGCTGAGAAGGGTCGCGGCAGCAGCTGTGTCACAGGAACCTGTCACCCCAGAACTGAGAGGAGTCAGGGCCAACGACAGCCAGCGCCTGGGCTGGTCTAACGCAGCATCTTCTCCCGGTGTTCTCTGCCTCACCCACAACCCTCAGAGGACAGGCTGGCACTGATCCCAAAGGCCCCCGCCCCTCAAGAGCCTGTCCTGTCCAGTCTGAGCACTCTGTGCACTGTAGCGGGCGTGCTAGGGAGGGCCGGGTCCCAACCAGCCCTGTGGGAGGAGAGGACCCCCCACCCCGAGGAGCAGAGTGCAAGGCCAGGCCTCGCTGAGGCCGGGATGGGAGCCTGCGGGAACACAGGGAGCCCGTGGGAGTCAGAGCCTCTGAACAAAAGCACCTGAGCTCAGCTGCGCCCGGAAACGGGGGCCACCTGGGGAGGCACGAGGAACACCCAGTGGAGCACTCAGCCCCTGGCGGGGGCCGCCTCACCTTCTCCTGGGCGGGTCTCAGGACGCTCTCGTTTAGACTGTGGCCCAACTCGGAAGCCTGTTTGAAGGAAGGATGCGATGAGAGGGAAGTCACGTGAGCTCCTCGTGCGGCACGCTCCTCCCAGCACATGCACTGGCGCAGCGGCCACAAGCTGTGCCAACAGAGGGAAGGCAGCGGAGGGTGGGCAGCACACGGGACACCCCAGGCTCCTGCAGCGGCTGCGGCACCTGAGGTGGCTGCACAGAAGTGTCTGGGCAGCCTGGCTGCACGGAGGCTGGAGACAGCTGCCCCTGGCATATGTGCTCACAAAAAGGGGTCTGGGGATGGCAGCAAGCCCCCGGGAGTCTGCCCTGCCTGGCGGCCACCTCCAGGAGCTTCCCGTCAGATCCCAGGTGGTCTGGCGTAAGGACAGCCAGGTGCTGACAGCAGGTCACATGGCGCCCCAGGATGCAGACGGGTGCATCCTCAGTCCTTGGAGTGGTTCAGGCCCCACCAGCCTCCAGCAGGCCTGCAAGGAGCTAGCTTGGAGGGACGGGGACAGAGCTGGGGGACCAACCAAGGCTGGCACAGTGCTCAGGTGGGGGGCAGCATGGGACAGTGAGACGGGCTCACCACATGGGTGTCAGGACCTCCCACTGGGATAAAACTCCTTCAGATTATGTGGCTCAAGATAATTAAAACAAAGTGAAAATCACACCAAGTAGCCCAGGTGCCCCGGGCCCATCAGTGCCCCTGGAGGAGCAGCACCCCCGGGCGCCGGATCCTGTGTCTCCTGCCCGAGACTCGGATCCCTGAGCACCGTGGACAGCCGGTGAGAGGCGCTGAGTGTGCGCACACAAAAGCGCTGACACAAGACAGGCCACGGCAGGCGGGACGCCACAGAGCAAAGCACGCACCGAGCAGAGACACGCGCAAGAGCAGACGCGGGGCCTTACCAGCTCCGGCTGCTGCTTGGGACCCCAAAACTTTACCCAGACGGCATAGGGAGACGGGTTGGGGGAAAGAGAGAGAGAAAAAGCAAGGCGGTAGGAGCAGCATCTCACAACAACCCAGAAGCATCTCGGCACGCTTGACCAGTGTCTTGTTTCTCACAGCATCGCCCCAACAGGGGTCCCCAAAAACGACCCTGGAGCCCATTCACGGCTACTGAACCTGACCACCTTCCACTCCCACCTGACCACTTTCCAGAACCGCAGGAGGGGGCATGCGTGATTCAGGAGCTGAAATGGGGGCTCAGAGATAAAAGCAAAGAAGAGGCTCCTGAGTGGGGTTGGGTGAAATGTCGCCACAGATGGGCAGTGCTCCGAGCCCCTGGAGAACCCAGCTCCCTCCCTGGGGGTGAGGGCAGGGCTCGAGTGGCCGGGATAGCCTCCACGTGAGCACTGACGCCCAGCGCCAGGAGGACGGGCCGGCCCAGGGTCTGGCACCACGTGGGGACTGCTTGGCGACTGACCAGGATTTGAAGAAACAACAAACACCAAGGCCTGAGCCAGCCACCTCTGAGAGCAGCACTGACCAGGATGGAGGGCACTGGGCCGGCTCAGCCCGCCTGCGGCTGCCACACACACAACACAGAGCCCTCGTCCCACCCACAGTGTGCCTGCCTGCTCCTTCACAGGCTGCAATGGACAGCGGGAGCAGACCCTAGGCAGGTACAGCCTCCTACGCCACCTGCTAAGCCCATGGGCACCTGAGGTGACGCCCACTGATGTGCGAGCTTGGGGGACGGGTGCACACGCACAGGCCGGTCCAAGTCCAGGCTGCACACGGCCATGTCCCTCCCGAGCACACAGCCCACGGAGGGCAGACCAGGCAGGGTCCAGACACCAACGGGACATCTCGCTGGGAGTTTTAACAGAACACGGGGTGCGGAAGCTTCCTCTGTTACCTTTTGACTTGCTTGGGATCCAAATTTTGTGGCCTGAAAGGAAAAGCAAAGACAACGCCTTGTGATCAACCGTCCTGACTCTGGCCACCAAGCTGTATTTCCACGGGGCTCAGACACTCAGTCCCAGGTCTGGGTCCCGACGGCCGCGAGGCACCAGCGCTCACCCTGCAGCAGCTCCGAGGGGCCCGGCAAAGCTGCCCACAGCACCAGGTCCCCGCTGGAGGGAGGCCACCGGACGAGAGCACCCGTGCAGCACCCAGGGCCGGCAAGCCGGCCCAACTCCAACTTCCCCACCCTGAGCAGTGGGGGCCCTGTAAACCACCAGCGCAGAGGTGGCCACCCAACCCCGTCTTCACTGGGCTTTCTCACGACCGTGCCCACACCACCTCCCACTTGGTGCTCAACAGGCCAGTCACGCTGCTCGTCTCTACCTGGCACCCCAGTCACCTTTATAACAACTGAAGAAGAAAAATGCCTGGCCGTGATATTCCAGCTTGAAGGTGCATGGACACCCCAGCCACACCCTCCTTCAGAGACCAGGCTCCAGAGAAAGCCAGCAGAGGCCACGTGGTAGGGGACCACACGACAGCAGTGCCACGGCAGCTGAGCCCCTCAGCACCAGGCTCCTCCCAGGGCCGGGCTGCCAAACCTCTCTGGGCCTCCCCTCCACCCTGCACGGCCTGAGGGGGGTGGGGGCAGGCCCAGGGGTGCCCCTGAGAAATGTTCCCTGAGGCTTTACTCCAGCCCAGAGCCAACTCGGTGGTTTCCGCTGGACGTGGGGGCGGCTGCAGGCACCCGGCTGGCCCACGGCTCCCTGGCTCCAGCCCTCAGAAGGCTCCTGTCCTGACCTTCAGGGTCTGTCTGCTCTGGGTCACTCACCAGGCAGCCTCCTGTCCCTGCTCTGGGCTCCCCCTCTTCTCTCACCTTCCTCTCACAACCATGGCCACACGGCCGGCTTGCGGTCTCCCCTGCAGGCTGTCTCCCTCCAGGCTGACATCCCCATACAGTTTCTGGCTGTTCCTTTCCGCCTGGCACTTGTCCAGGTTGCTGCCAGGAGGCCAGGTATGTTCCCACTCTCCACTGTCTGTCCTGACAAAACCCCCAAATCCTCCCCTGGCCTCGGGCTGAACAGGCAAGGGTGAGAGAGAAAGAACTCTGCTCTGGAGACCCAGCACCCAGGAGAGACTCAAGGGGCCACAGGGCCACCACCTGCTTCACTCGGCCTAAGTGGGGGCCCGGTCAACACTGCAGGGAGGGCAAGTCCGGGTCACGTTCTGCCCCCAGCTCAACACAGCGCCTCTTTCTTCTAGAGCCTGCTGAGCCTCTGACACACAGACAAACTATGAAACCCGCTATGAAAGCAGAGACCCTCTACGCGGCCTTGAGGCTCCTCCATGACCCTGGGAGCTCTGGCTGAGGGCAGCTCGAAGGGCCAGAAACCAAGAGTCCCTTGGCACAGGTGGGCGTGCAGCCCTGAACACGGGAGGGAAGGCTCATGGCCTCTGAACACCCACCACCCCTTGGTCAGAGACCCTTCAAGACCCTTCTCCTGCTCCCAGATACCAGCCAGCACAGCCTGGTGGGTCCCACGGGGCCTGGTGGCATGTTGGGATGAGCTACTCACGCCCTCCTTAGCTGCTGAAGCAAACTTGCTCGCTCCCATGGTGAAACTGCTCCAGCCCTGAAAGGAAGAACAGAGAAGCCATGTCAAGGCTCCACATGCCGCTGCCCAGGGAGGGGCCTTTCTGACCTGCTGCGCCGTCACCTGGCAAAGGAGGGTCTGGATGCCCGCAGAGGGCCCTACAGCAGCTCACAGATCCACTCTCCACACAGAGTGAGCATTCCTGCAACAGGCACGCCTGGACACCATGCACCCGTCCCTGCACCACCACCCCATCAGGACCATCCTCGGCCCCCAACAGGAGGGACTCGGAAGAGCCAGGCCTGGACCACAGGGTGGGACCGCTGGCCCCAGCCCCAGAGCCTCCATCTCAAGCCTGGGCCTGCTCCTCCTGCTGCCCTCCACCCTCCCGCCTCCCCTCTGAGGGGTCAGGAGTCCAGTGCCATGCTGGTGCCCACTCCAGACACACAAGACTGTGAGGCTGGTTACGGGTCACTGCAACCCATTCTCTTCTAAGTGTGAGGCTGTGTTCTCCTAAGCCTCCAAAATCAATTAAAGCTATTTAGAGCCATGAACGTCTCGTTTAAACCCAACGTCGCTTCTTCCTCCAAAGGAAAAGAGACAGACCTCACCATGGGAGACAGTCCCGTTCAGTCCTTCACTAAGAATTAAAGATCCACAGCAGGGGGACGTGGGGACGTGAAAGACTACCTTCCTGGATGGGGGCGTGGGGACGTGGAAAGACTACATTCCTGGATGGGGACGTGGGGACGTGAAAAGACTACATTCCTCCACGGGGGTGGGGACTGTTTTAAAATAAACTCCCACACAGAAGGTTTCAAACTAAAGATTTGCCTTTTTTCCCTGGAGAAGATTCAACGACTGTGAGGGTGCAACCTCAGGTTCCAGGGCTCCAGCTGGCTTGTTCCAGCTGCCCAAGACCTGGAGCTCCGGAGAGCCAGCCCGGGGCGCCTCAGGGGTAAAGAGAGTTTTCAACAATTTTTGAGCGAGAAGTTCATTCATCTTTGGAACAATAAACGTACAGGGGTGAAAGAGGACCTCCCATCACACCTAAGTCAGGACCTGAGTCCACGGCCCGGAGACGTGACTGCTTCCTCCCAGTCTCCTCCCCGCACATGCGGCATGCGCAGTGCAGTGTCACCTCTCACACGCACGCCCCTCTTCTGCACCTCCTTGCTGACTCGGACTGCGGGAGACCCACCCTACTAGCACAAGAGCCCTCCTCGCCTCTACACACACAGCACCCAGACGACACACCAGCTGTCACCTGACCCCCTCCCCAGGCAGACCCTCAGGCGGTCTGCGCTTCTCGGGGTCACGGATGATGCTGCGATGAATAAAAAGCATTCTAAAGAAACAGAAAGTCTGCTTGGAAAATGATGGTTTGACTGGAGCGGCGACGCAGGTAGGGATGTGCACGCGTAGCCAAGGGCACCATCCCCAAAGGGCGCCAGGGCCCGTGCTACCGCCAAGCACTTCGCCTCTGCCCCTGGAATCTCGTCCTCAGGAGCTGGCTAAGAGCGGCACTGAGAATCAGCCAGGAGGCAAGGCAGGATCAGCTGCTGGCTGTGCCCAGTGCTCTCCCAGGAGAGGGCGGCCAGGCAGCTTCCAGGCAGAACTTTAGTGCTTTAGAGGATACGCCCCTCAATAAATTTGAAAGACATACTTGTAACCAAAGCGGGCAGACGACTGAACACACATGGGATCTGAATAATGGGAGCCACATATAGTTTCAGTGAAAGAGAGGGAGAGGGGCCTCAACCAGAACAAGCAGCACGCTTTCCTAGAGCAGCCCAGCACTGCCCCACTGGGCCCAGCCTGTCTGCGACGCTGGGAGGCCCCTGGGGGTTGGCATGGGACACACGCACATGCACACACGCACGGATACACACACACACCCCCTCAGGACCTGTGTGCCCTCACCGAGTACAGGGACGACATGGCACTGTTGAGGAAGTCGTCTTCTCTCTTCGGAGGCGGCACTGTGTTCCCAAACCCCACGTAGCGGTTCTCCGTGGCCCTGATGGAAACACAAGCAGCAGCTAAAAGCCACGGGTGTGGGAGGTGCCCAGAGCCCAGGACAGAGGCGTGGATGGCCAGCCGCCCCGAGGGGCCCTCTGAAGGCCGTAGCGACTCCCCCTCGCACAGGACGCTGTGCTGCCCATGGTCCAGCCGCACACAGGAGGCAGGCCTTCCTCCGCTCTTTACACCCTCCTGCTGCGTCTAGCCAGAGGAGCCCCAGCAAGACACAAAGCCAACAACCAGAGTAACAGCAAAAAGCACCAAAACAGTTTAATCTGATGGCTCGAGGGACAAAAACACATTCACAGGCCAGAGAGATTCAAAGAAAATGCATTCTCTCTTCCTTCTAAATGTTAGCGTTTCTCTCGACTTACGACCCCTCTTCAAACCTGGGCTGGCCCAGGGCTGAGGCACGCAGGCCTGCAAACACGCTGACCCTGCACCCAGCACATCCTCTTAAGCCCCGCCCCACACAACCCTCCAAGTCCAGGTCTGCCCAGAGTACCCCCCCACGCCCTCCTGAGGCCCCCCCGACACCCTCCACGGTCGAGTCTGCCCAGAGTGCAGCCCCCACGTCCTCCCAAGCCCCCCGCCGACCTCGAGGCCTTACCCTTGGTAGGAGCCGAGGTCGTCGTTCAGCCAGTCTTCAAAAGCCTTGTCTGAAGAGGAGGTTGAGTTCTGCGGCTGGCCAGAGGCTCTGAAATCAGAGTCAACAGTTGGTGAGGCCAAAGGACGGGGAAGGGGAGACGCCTGCGGGAACCAGGCGGGTCTCGGGGAAGTGCTTGTCTCATCCACCTGGTCACCCCTGGGCTCCTCTGAGAACAAAGCTCCCGGCAGGCCAGCCTCCAGCTCTGTCTGGCAGGGGGCTCAGGCCCGGCAGCTGACACCAGCAAGAAGCATGCAGAGGCACCAAGCCTCACAGATAGGGTCTCAACAGCGGCTCCTTGCCTGCTTGTGCCAGCACGGAGGCCCTGGAGAGGCTGGGAGGACCGAGGCCAGAACAAGCACATGGTACTGGTCTGGAGACCTTCCAACAAGGACACCTTGACACAAAATGCAAGGGGAGCAGGGGGACAAAGGGAGGGCCGCTGGGTACCCCTGGCATAGACGAGGAGCCTTCTCTGAGTGGTCACCCCAGAACACCAGCCTCCAATGTGCGAGGACAGAGGACACTCACCGTGGGGATCAGCTCGCCCACAGTGTGCCTATGCTCTGGGGAGGTGGCAACCCCAGCCAGGCCACGTCTCACAGAGCTGCATGCATCAGCGGTACGTGTCTGGAAGGACCTGCACTGGGCTAACATCTGAGAAGCGGGCAGATAATATGTTCTGTTTTAGATGTGTCTTTATTGGTTGAATTTTTACTGAAAACTTGTTATTGTTTCAGCAACCTATAAAGTTGTTTTTCCCACTGATTTCTGGGAACAGCTCAAAATTAGAACCAATACCACGACACCCCGGGGATCCTGAGCTATAACTAAGATCAGAGCCAGGCTGAGAACAGCACAGAGCCCGACTAGCGGGCCAGCGGAGAGCTACCGGTGGGCGGTGGACGGCAGCGTCTTGGGCTGGGGTGGAGTCCAGTTCTGGGCAGGCGATGACTCCAGAGACCATTCTCTACCTTCGGCCAGAGTGGCTACCTGCCAAGGGGACACGGGTTAGAGAGCCCAGAACTGTGCGGGGCAGCCACAGACGCTGTCCACTCTAGCACACTCTCACGCACCCTGCATGCAGCCCCTCCAGCCTCGGTGGCTGTGGGCTGGGGTCTCTGCCACGAGTGATCACTGAGGCTGGGTCTCACTCTGGCTGTGGTGAACAGCAGTGCCGGTGAGCTCTTGGTCAGCGGCTCCAACCCCAAACGCCTGGGACCCACCCCTCTGTCCCTCAAATGACGGCACCAGCAGGTGCTGTGTTCTCAGGAGTTTTACCCAAGATGTAAAAAGGCACTTGGACGTGACACTGTCCCAAATGTTGGGGAGGAAGGCTCGTCCTCCACCCCTGCCAACGACAGGCACCTGCTTCCCCTTGCCTGGACAGGACAGGGCCACACAACTGTCTGTACGGGGACTGCACATAGCCTCCATGGTGGCAGAGCCCACAGAAGAACCCCAACTCCTGGAACCACTAAGGCCGCCAATGGACAGAGCAGCCTGGCCCCTGCTGGCTGCCTGTCCTCACCTTGTCCCTGAAGAGGGCGGCGGCCCTGCTGCTGTACTTATCCTGCAGGGACCAGCAAGGGTCGTAGTCCTCCTGAGACTCCAGGAACTCTCGGAACTTTGCATTCCCTCCGGCCTTCATCTTCTCGAGCTCAATGTCCTTCCACTTGTCCATAGTAACAGAGCGCACGAAGCTGGAAACCAGAGGATGACTGTGATGATCGGGTACCAGGTATCCAAGAGCCCCGACCCCAGCCACGCTGTGAATCAGGAGCATGTGCTTCCTGTGTCAGGAGGGCCTGGCCTTGACACCTGAGCACACGGCGTGTGAGGTGGCCCGCGCTTTTCTGCCACCTGGCTCCTGACGGCAGGCCCCTGACTATGGCTTAGGATGCCCACGGAGCCTGAGGGGCAGGAGCACGTCTGCTGCCCTGAGCAGAGGGTACTGACCTGAGGTGCACCCCGAGCCCTCGGTGTTTGCCCGAGCACTCCAGGCAGATCCAGATGCCGTAGGTCACACTCACCCATTGAGGGTTGAACGCACCACACTCAAAACACACCTGCAAAGAGGGCCACGTGTGGCTCACCCAGGCGGCTCAGGGCAGGGCTCGGGGACCCCGAGACCCAATGGGTGGCCCCAAGAGGGTGCAGAGGAGAGGACAGCTGTGGGACCAACAGCGACAGGGAGGGAGGGCTCTGAGGCTGTAGGCAACTTCCGAGAGGCTGCTAACCCTAACAGAGGCATCAAAGGAAAGCAGAAGCTCACATTGTTTTCATCTTGCACTCTTACTTCTTTAAGAACTTTCCTGGTTCTCGGGCTGGCCATGATGCTAGAAAAGAGGAAAAAAACTTTTAAAATTTACAAATAGGTTACTTCACAAGAAAATCAATTAGTATAAAAACCAGTACAAAACATAGTTTCAGAGAAATTCCGCTAAGCTGCTTAGAAGCTGGAGGGCAACACCGCTACTCACTGCAGGCAGTGTCAGGAGCCACTTACGGAAGGAGTCTGTTCCCCACACTCTAGAATCAAGAGGAGTCTGGAGCTCCCGGTCAATGGCAATGCAATTAAGAATAACGTAATTACTGGTGTCCACTTTGCTTAAGCATTACATACAATTTATAAAAAGTCCTGTCTTCTAATGAAGTTCATAGCAAGGGGTGGCCTCTATAAAACACGCAAAGACTGGCAGCTATATCTCACTTCCCACCTAAAAGGGTGACACACCAGACTGAGCCGATGGCCTCTGAAGATACGGGCCTCGAGTTCTCTGCCCTCCACCCCCCCAGCACGGTGCAGAAGTGGTCCTGACTGACGTGTGAAGTCAGCGGGGGGGTCTGTAGGTAGGTCCTCCAAGAGGCCATCACGAGGGATGAAGTGACAGCTGGCACAGTCACAGCAGGGCAAGGACAGTGCCCTATGGACCAGGAGACCTGCCCCCATGCCTCAAAGGGACACTGCTGGGGAGCAGCAGCCACAGGCTCGGGCTGAAGAGAAAAATCATTTATCACCCCCCCCTTTTTTTTTAAGATTTTATTTTTCCTTTTTCTCCCAAAGCCCCCCCAGTACATAGTTGTGTAATTTTTCAGTTGTGGGTCCTTCTAGTTGTGGCATGTGGGATGCCACCTCAGCATGGCCTGATGAGTGGTGCCGTGTCTGCGCCCAGGATCCAAACTGGCGAAACCCTGGGCTGCCGCAGTGGAGGGCGTGAACTTAACCACTCAGCCACAGGGCCGGCCCCAAAATCACTTACTTCTTGACAGATCTAGCTTTGGCGAAGTTCAACTTCAACTGGTGCCCCACTGAACTCATGACCAGGAAAATCGATATAAGACTCAAGCTGGAAGAAGGGGATGGGTGCCAAGCAGTGTCAGACATAAATTACCTGCACTGGTCCTGCACAAGCCACCTCTGATGGGACCTGGGTTCTGGGCCACCTCTACCGTCACCAGCCCACAACTGAGGGTGTGGCCTCTCTGAGGCCCTGCTCTCACCCGTGAACAGAACCCGTGAGCTGCTCCCTCTAACTCACAGGGCAGCTCAGATCCTCTGGAACACTCTAAGTGGCAGACTGCTGCTGGATGTTTTCAGGCTGCCACCTCTCTACCCGCTCGCTGCTGCACGCAACGCGACTGCTGAGACCAGCTTTCCACTGAGGTGCAGTTGGAGCTTTACACTGAGATGCAGCTTTAAAAACCCAGAAGGATCTCTGTGGTGTATTTCCCCTTTAATCTTAAGTATGCAGAAATAAGTTATTCACTGAGGGGAGCCCTGCCTCTCCACACAACCAAACCTGCTCGATCTGGAGTCCACGACTCCTGATGCTCATCAGGGCCCACTTTCAAGCTAGCTGAAGTCAGGAAATAAACGTTTGCTTTCTGTAATTGACAGAAGCAAAACCCGGAGTTTCCCCAGGCTCCTCTCTGCTCTGCAGTTCTCTGTGCTGCCAGAGGGTCTACTGAAACCACCAGATCTCGAGGGCAAACAGCTGGGTGCAGAATCCTGCCCAGTACTGGGCCCTGGCACCACTCATGCAGGTAGAACGCCGTCCTCACGCTGAGCAGCCTGCTCAGCCACAGCTCGAGAGGCAGAAACAGGGAACACGCCCTTGGAGAGACGTCTGGGGGTTTGTGTTTACCAAGCCCTTTGCTCACGTTCGTCTCATGGCAGCCCCAGGAGCGCCCTGTGCGGGCTGGAGCGCAGGGCTGACGCACACCTGCCCCGCACAGGCCTCCACACCAGGCCCTGCGCTCTCTCCACAGAGCTGTGCCGACCCTCAGAGGCTCAGGCTCCGGCCCACAGGACACAGGCAAACAGAGTCAGAAGTGGGGTGAGCTTCTTGAATCTCTAACTGCGTAAGGGAAGGCAGAGCGAATGTGTGCAGAACCGCCAGGGAAGATCCCTGAAAAATAAACGACCCAGCTTGGATTTATAAGGAACTCCCCTCAGTGACCAGTTTTGGATGTGAGAATCCTTGAGTTCTCAGAAATACTAACTATAACACACAAAAACAAATACCTCCTAACTTTCAAAACCACAGATATGGGTTATCTTGTAAAATAATCCAAGAACTCCTGTTTTAACACCTGAAACCAAGATGGTACAATGCAGCTCTTTCTACAAGTGGACAAAGCCAGTAAATGTTGAGCCAAATGGGGACACTTTTCCCTAGTTCCCTAAGTGAGCCACCTGTCAGTCTGCAAACACTGGCCCTCACGGTGGAACCTCCTCCACGTGTGAGATGACACGGGATGTCACCCAGGAGACAGGCAGAAACAGTAACCTCCGTCTCAGACACCGCCGAGGCAGCCGGCAGCTGTGTGCCAGCACAGCCCTCGCTCCTGACAGATCATTCCTGACCCTCGCAGGGCAAGGTCGCCAGGGGACGCACAACCCGCCAAGAGCTACCATCCCGCCGCGTTCCTGCCGTCTTCGCCATCGCAGACAGAGCCGCGGCGCGATCGGACCTGCGCCGAACGAGCAGCTATTTCCCAGAAGCGGTTTGTGATGCAACTGTTTAGCGGTGCAGACACGAAGCACGGCTCTACCCAAATCCACGTCAACTGAAAAGACACGTTCGAGTCCCTTCCTGGCCTCTTCACCCACCACCGCCGATGTCGGGTGGGGAGGAGAGCGCCGAGCCGGCCCAGGGCTCTGAGCAGACGGACCCTCACCTCCTAGGGGCGGAAGCCCTTCAGATCGGCCGCCTGGGCGCTGCGCCCAGGTCCTGGGTCCGAGGGAAGGGCCGGGCAGGGCCGCGACCCGCGGAGGGTCCAGAGCCCGCGGTGGGGGCGGCCTCGGGGGCTCGGGGGCGTCCGCCAGGGAGGCGCCTGGACGGCCGGGGGGCGGCGGGGCAGTGCCGCGACCCGCGGAGGGTCCAGAGCCCGCGGTAGGGTTGGCCTCGGGGGCTCGGGGGCGTCCGCCCGGGAGGGGCCTGGACGGCCGGGGGGCTGCGGGGCAGTGCGGGCGCTTCCAGGTCGGGGGCTCCGGCTGGCGCTTACCTGGCGGACTCGATCCTGCGCGCCGGCGCCAGGCGGGGGTCCGGGCGGGGTCTGGAGGGGAGCGCGCCGCCAGCCGCACCGAGGCCGCGCCGGCCGCCCACCCTGCCGCCACCAGCTTCCGGCTACGTTGCACCTCGCAAGGCATCACGGGAGGCCGGGGGGCGGGACTTCCGCCTCTGCTGCTGGCCGGAAGCGCGGCCCCGTCCCTGTCGCCATGGGGACGCGTCCCAGCGGCCGCGACGGAGCAGAGGGGGGCCCCTGTCTGCGCGGACGCGGCAGGGAGCAGGCGGCCGGCTCGGACAGCCCTGGAGCCGCGTCCTCGGTCGGGGCCTGCAGACCCCGGCGCTGCTGTGCCGGGCAGGGCGGGAGGGCCAGCGACGTGTGTCGGAGCGGATCGTCCGAGGGACCGCGACGCCGTCGCTGACGGCGGACGGGAAGATGCGGTCGGCGCGTCGTCAGGCTCTGAACGAGAACTGACGGCCCGCTCCACTGAGGATGACTCAAGGACGGCGTGCTTACGAGGGGCTGATTCGGAAGGTGGGGCGGGCTTGGGAAAACCGCAGGAATCCTGCCAGAGCCGGGGCTGGAGCGGCAGAGCTGTGACGTCAATAGGCTCCGAGGGAAAGAGGGAGGTTCCCGCACTCGGGAAGGGCAGGGTCCTTAGGGCCGCCGCCCCACAAGAGCTGTCACCTTTGGTTGAGGGCATCGCCAGCCCAAGGTGACCCAGCAGGGAAGCCACAACAGCAAACACCCTGGCCTCTCTGGCCTGTCGCCCTCTGATCTCCTAGTTTTGCCTCCTGTTGTCCGAACCCATTGGTGCAGAAGGAGGTGGAGAAGGGTGGGGAGTGGGTGCGGAGCGGCAGCTGGAGAGATGGAGCAAGCAGTAACGCGGGGCAGACGCTGCAAAGCAGCGTGAATAGCAGGATCCCAAACACCCGAAAATATGACTGTAGAAAGGAAACCGTTAAAGTGATTGCCTCGGCTGTCGTTGCAAGTGCTTTTTGGTTTTACTTCGTGCTTTTCTGTATTTTCCACATATTCTTCATGGGTCTGTATGATTTTCAAATGATCCAGTATAAACATTTTTATCGAGGTACAATGTACAATCAATAAAATGTACAGTT